CGTGTTCCACGCAAGGATGACGGGCGACTTCTCTCGCGACGCGACCATCACCTCCGCCGATAATTAACACTCTCCTGGGATTCGGGTGAACATTTAAGGGGATGTTGGCGATCATTTCCTGATAGTAAGCTTCGTCACGTTCTGTCAGTTGTATTTGGCCATCAAGCGCCAGTACGCGTCCGTATGTCTCGCTAGAATATTCAAGACTAATTACCTCTACTTATTTACTTTAGTGAACCTGCAACGCACAAACACACACCTTTCGAAGACAAGCACATGCTAAAACTCCGATTTCTCGTCGAACAAAACCTCTTTTACTTTAAGGCTAAACGACTGTCCAGGAAGCGTATCACACACCTCGGAGAACCAACCATGCATTATGAGGTCCATATTGACTTTCTACAAGTGGAAGTTAAAATATAATAATTCAATTTTGGCACACTCAAACGACACTTAAACTGTCATATGAAAGTATTTGTGGCTAGGATAATCGGTTACACACGCATGTCTACCATTTACAATTCAAAACATCGAACAATTCTATGAAAGTGGAGACGTGATCAACAACCAGTGATATTTAAAGAAAACACTGCAATTTGAACTCGTAGATAACTCAAGACGTTAGTTTACTGTATCGAATATCAAAGATTTCTGGAAATGCAAGAAAACGTACAGCTGGGTCTGCGAGAATCAACTACTCTCTTCTTCAGATTACATTTTATCAATTTACATGCGCAGCGCCAAAATGGCATTGAATGTCGCGTGAAGAAGCTTAATAATCGATTATGTTTCAAAAAGCGACTCCATAAGTAGAGGGGCAAATACGATCATTGAGTGAAAAGCACAAAGCAACAGTAAATTGGCAAAATCAGAACTCAAACCAAGTAACGAATGTAAACAATTGCAAGTACGCTAATGTTAGGTACTCAATCATGAGTAGTAAACTTAATAACATTTTAGTTTCATGCCAAAACCTGCATAATATACAAATACAGCCTTGATTAGAGGTTTTTATGAAATATGGTACAGATTTTTTTTGTTAGAAGCGCATTAAGGTTTTTTTAATCAGTAGGTAAAATTTATGTGTATATCTACATGAAACAACAAAACATGATTACTTTAAAATTAAATTTGCATTATCAATTTCGATTTTGATTCTACAAAACTAAAATGCATTTATCTGAATATGCAGAGATTTAATAACCATACGTAGCGTTAAAAATGTGTCCTATTTTGTCGGCCAAAGTAAAACACTGCTATATTACATATTGCAATGAGATAGAACAGCGTCAATTCGATCGTTATTCAAGTTTGTGCCATTCTTTCAAGGTTACCTCTCCTATCCAAAAAATTCTTTGATACCTCACTAAAATCCCAGCACCAAAAACATTTTTAAATTGCTGAATAAAGCATTAAAAAAATTTTATTTAGGGCTTTCGATTTATTGTCAAGATTAAATCAAAATCTTATCAGGAATTTAAATAACATTCTCCTACGAAAACTTAAGACAGGTATTATTTTTCCACAATAAAATTCTTCCTATATTTTTGGATCTTTTGTAGGGAAACTTGAATATTCATGCATTACAAACGTACACGTTGAGTGATGTGGCCACCGTTGGTCTAAATTAGGAGAGCTACGTTACACTAAAATCTGATGTTAAATTTATTGAGAGGGCCTGACACACGACCCTACTAATTTCATTTATGTGTGTCAGAAAGAAGACGCATATGTCGAAAAATTCAGATACTTTCAGCCAAAGAGAAAAAGTTAACGTTGACCCAAATTACTGCAACACTTCGCTTATCGATTTGAGTCCAAACATAACGTAACTAATTTGCTCTGTACTCATTCACCTAATCATGACATCACACCTAATGTATCTAAATTTGTGCAGATAAATCCAAAAAATGACCATTAGAAGTCTATGGTTGCAACATAAAACATTAAATCCTTTAAAAATGTCCTTTAAAAGGGTAATTAGACGCTGATTACTGAAAAAGTGAAATCTATTTAGGGATTGGAATAATTTACTATTGCGGAAGTCGTCACACTGTCCTCAAAGTGACAGCAACTTCAAGTAAAATCAAAATATTTCAACATGGAGATTACTGCACACCTGAAGAGCAATTATGCAACATATATTTGTTGTGGATCGTGTTTATTCAAACCTATTAATCCGATCGTTCCACCTCCGACACAGGGTTCCGCCTGTCACCAGCCGCGCAGATCCTCAACTCCCTTTTCATTCACACGAATATTTATCTTGGATTATCCTCACACCTAAGTCTCAATGTTAGCGCTTGTATGACTCACACATCCGAGGTATAAATAAACACGCGCAAACCCCACACACGACATAACGACACCGACGTGGTTGAGCTCTGAAGTAAACGGTTGTGTCCACGTCCTCTCTGATCTTTTTCGTCATCGCGGGTATCAGAGGAACGTAATCAATCGGGCCAGGGTTAATTTCGTGGCCGCGGAGTGGTTCAAGACCACATGCTAGTGTCCACAACATATTTTTATGGAAATTGTAAATTCTGCTGGAGTTATTCTAGAATTAACATTGACTCCTATGAATAAATTGAAATCAACAGTTAGAATAATTCTATCTATACCCTTATCCAGTTAAACATCATCTGATATCGTCGTTAATTTCGTACACTTCACAATTTACATTAGAGTTTCCTTATTTGCATCCCAACCTCGCTCTGTGCGTAATACTGTGTCTTGAAACAATTCCAAGGACAATGTAGAGGAAACCGAGGTTATTTATTTTCATAATTTTTGTTACTTCGAATTTTTGGCCAACACACTGACGAGTTTGATATAAGTCATCTGTGTCACGATAATACTTCCTACCTCATTGCTAATTTATTGTTATCTCGTTAAAAAACCACAAATTTCGTTTTTTTGTAATTGGTTGCATAATTAAAATCATTATATAAACTTTGGATGAAAGTTATGTGTAGGGCTTTAATAGTTTAGTCCAATAATTTTTTCGGGCATTCTGTTCGTTCCCTTATTCGTGAGCATTTATTCATACCTAAGTTTACCACTAAGATTTAGTACTATAAGTCGCTCTCAGTCATCGAGACAATATTTGGTCAGTGGTCTTAAGTAAATGATATATGTTATCAGTTCTTAATAGATTCTGTTGATTTTTCTGCTTTTTATTTAAGTTTTGCTTCAGAACGTATCCAATTCACATTGGAATGCGAGGTATTATTGGTATCGAGTAGTGCACTTTACTGAAATCAGTAAAAGTAAAACGGTCTTTTTGAACTTCTTGTGATGTAGATGGAATTGTGCACACTGTTTTGCGGATTTAAAGTACAGCTTTCGGGAGCGCGGTCAAGCAAATTTATAAACGCCTTGTTAATGCTATAAATTTCAAACTAAATTACCGTTTTTTGATGCCTTACACAATATGGTGTCGAGATTCACGAGGAATTCTCGTTGGACGTCTTAATTGCTATTTACCCTATCTTTTCGCCGCAACGCCTTCACACTTCCACGATTTCAATTTATATGGAATTGTCATTGTTACGTTAATCAAATCGAAACGAAATAAGACACAAATGCCACGAAAAATACAAGCTCTGACGCGCGCTCAACTGTTTATGCAGTACTCACAAGGAAAACTGCAATCTGATGGGTTATTGTTAAGTCTTATAAACTACAACACCTTTTATGCTGTAATGACAAGCATTGCTGCACTGAAACACACAGTGTCACAAGTCAAAGCGACATCAACTCTGCCCTAGTCAGAAGGCTCAGCATTCACCACCGAAGATCCAAATCAAGGAGAACATGAGGTTTGAGGTTGCTAAATAGCCACTGGCGTATAAATAGAGCTTCTGTTTGACAAATCAGAATATACGTTTGTGCCCAAGAAACTGCAGCCTCAAAATGCCTGCCTATTGAAAAACGACAAAATGATGCATGCTTTCCTCTCAATGACGTGTCACTCAAAGTGTAGCTCTATATATAGGGACCAACAAATTGTCGTCTTCAATTTGCACATAGAATGTATTGCAGGAATGGGTTGATGTGGTCTGAAAACTTATCAGTCTAAGCTCATACATTTACAGAATTTCAAAAAGCAAAATTTCGAAGCTCCGTCTTAATTTGGCATTAGGTACGGAGCTGTATGTTCCCTTAACTTATCCATACGTTCACTTTCAAATCATACCTCAGAAAACGTTTAAAAAATGCACACAAATTTTGCTAGCCGACTAGGGAGACGAGGGACACAAAGTTGTTGAGGGTCGTTGCATGAAATGCAATATGCCGCTAAAACTGGAAGAGAGATGTTTAAGGAAAGAGTGAGATTTCGTGCCCACCAAGGGCATTCAGGAGCTCTTTGTCGCCACAATCAAATTGGTTTGAAGATTTTGAATGGAAAACTTCATTAAAATTCAGCGGTTTTTTTAAAACGTTGATAATACTAAAATTAACCACACTTATCTCGACTGATGACGTTTATTTATCAGAGTGGACTGTAGCATTGAAATTAGAGCCAAAAAGAAAAAGATATTTACATGAGCCTAGACACCGAGGAGTTATTGGTTCATAAGACGTCGTTGAATCAACTGCCAAGATTTGGCAGCCGGGGTACCTACTCCACACACACACACACCCACACACACACACGTGTGAGCGCGTGTTTGTGTTACCAATGCGGCTAACCAATTGATTCAAGTTGAGATTACACCGAATCACTCCTACGCTGTGGGCTCTGCAGATGTCACTTACGCACGCCTTGGCTATGCAGAACGACTGCACCACAGGAAACGGGGACGCGGAGGCCCTGGTCATGAAGGAAGGTCACTTATTTTGGGCTCTGGACAAAGACGCGGTAAGTTACATGCACCCTGGAACAAAATCCGGTTGAGGCACATTTTTAAAAGTATAAGGTAAAAATTCGCCACACCCCTTCACAAGTAGGTGGATTGCAGTCACATCGAGTATCATCGTGGTCTCTCTGCACGCTTTATGATTTCGTGAATTGGTACTAAGAATTTAGCCTCTTAATAGAGATAAATTAAAGGCAAAGCCGACGAAAGGAAACACGATAGGAATGGCTCTGTCCAAAACATCCACATGGAAGTAAACGGTCTTTGCATTTCAAATTATAGCGGTCTATTCGAGCCCGAATTCCTACTGTGTCAAGTTAAAAGTAACACATTGGTATTAAGTGGGTTAGCAGATAAGTAATTAAGGGTTTCATTAAGTGTTTTAAGAAAACCTTTTCTTTAAATAATGAATAAAATTAAATGCACCATATGTATATCGAGTTACATACCGCAACTTCATGTATTGATATCCATAAAATTAATAAAAATTGAACCAACCATGATTCCATGTCATCGTTATTACTGACAGAGTTTTACCAGTCCAAGTTTTTGAACATTGAAATACGTAGGGATTTATTTGTGCATAGCCAGGGCAACATTGCCCCCTCACAACAATCCAGCCGTTTTACTTGAGTGTGATAACCTGCAATGTCAAGAGGTACCACGACCCCAATGGAATTAAAAACTCTGGCCGACTTTCTTTTTCCGAATTCCCCAGTTTTAGTTGTCGTTGGCAGAAAACATTCCCGTTAAGGGTTTGATTCCTCAAAAGCAGCTCAAAATACAGAAAGGCATTTGTGCTTGAAATTCAGTTTCTCGTAATGAAGCTTGTTATAATTCACCGCATTTATTTCGTGATGGATTATTGGTTAATGTCAGTTATTTTAGAACCAACATATAGAGCCTATTACCCAAAGTGATTTTAAACTGTTACGTGTGATGCATTTAACAACTTACTGGTAATATTTCCCCCATTCGTTTGACCGTGAGCTGATCCAGTTGTAGTTATGATTTCCTAATCATTCATTCGCACCGATAGGCTGGCGTGAATTTAAGTAATCTTCGAACCGAAGTTTCCTTGAGCGCTATTTTCAGATTAGTTTTGACACCTGTCTTTAAGTAAGTGATTGATGCCACAATTTTGACACTTCTTCTTGCAAGTCTGTCCAAATGTATTGCCTTTGGCGATGTAGAAAAGGGGACAACGTCGAAACTGTTCATTCTTGCTGAATTCAAACTAACAACTGCAAAAGGGATGGGCGCAGACAGCTACTAAAGTAAGACAAAAATGACATCCATCATTTTGCAAGGGTGAAAAGTCCCACAACTGACAGAAAACTCTCACGTCTTGTAGTGAAACTGAAACTACCTTATTTAAAATCCCTTTTGGCGTTAAAATTTGAATTTCCCACCTGTGATTCCTTTTGCAAGGTTTTAGTTGCCTGAAAAAATACGCAGGCATCGCCCAAAATTGTACCATTAACCACTCAGTGTTCAGATTATTAAAACCACTTACAAATGCTAAGATTTTAAGCATTCTTATTTGACCAACCAATTTCTCTCTGGGAAATCTTTCAAATTTCACACAAACCTCTTGCCAACAGTTTTTTGAAACTTCTAAGAAACAATGACTCATTCCCTGAACTAATGACTAAGTGAATAGTCGCCTTTTTGTCAAAACAAAACAACAAAATATCCCCCCCCCCACATATTATACGTTAGGGGACCACAGACACCTCAAACGAGCATAAAACGCAAGTTTCGCCTAATTATTCATCACAAAGTGAAAGTACAGTAAGGAGCAGTCACAACACGCCCCAACGCGATCTGCACTTTTTCAGGCTGTAGTGCAACGGACCTACGGCGTGCTGCTGCCACAAACACTGCTTCTTTACAACACCGAGGAAGAATCCCATGTTAATCAGCAAAGCCCCGTAAAGTATTTCGACCTTCAGCAATGCCTGGCAATTCAGCCAACCGACCAATACCAGGATTATTTCGGATTTATCTTATTGGTGCGTTTTACAGGTTCATACATTGAATCTCCTTAACTCGGCAATTTGATTGGTTGTGCTTTCGCTACCAAAGCGATAATGTAATAGTAATTATCGAGGTATAAGCACATGCCAATAAAATTAGGCTGGCATGTTTCGTTTAAATTTTCTGTCGTAGTGGACGTCCCACACCGAGGTTACCTGAGGACCCAATAGTTGCCTATTTGGTTAAATCCCCCATTGTCTGTGCCCCTTAAAACGGATTCAGGCCATCCTCCACGCACAAGTAATTAGCAGAGACCAGGTTTAAGAAGTATAGACCATTCGTTTGAATTTTTTAAACAATCTGTTCAAGTAGAACAGCCTGATTAACGTTTAGGTGGACATTGAGGCTTATCAGTTTCCTTATTTCCCCCCACGTCATTCTCAAATGTAAAACACAATCATATGATCTCCTTTGTGCCAATTAAGATGTTGTTTAATTGTCAAGCGCACTAAAGATTTTCCTACATAAATGACACTGAATGTATAGGTTATTGTTGGTTGAAATTAAACGTGGAGACGGGTAACGCCACGCCTTCCTTTAAATTACAAAACGTTTGCTTTAGGTGGTTCCTGGTGGGGTCAGTCTTCTGGGCTGTTCCAGTGAAGATGAACGGCAGACATGGATAGACGTCATAAACCAAGCCATTGACACGGAGATCAGGTCACCAGCCTTGCTAAAACTAATCGGTATTCTTCAAGACGACACGCGGCAGCCGTACAGCAGTGATTACAATTCCGCACGATCTCCAACCCCTCTGATGAATGTGCCGAAGACTTTGAACGGGGAGTCGTTCGTGTTTTCCTGCCCCCCTCTGTGTCTGGTCGAGTCCCCTGTGCTCGAGTCGTCGGCTGAACCGTCGCCGGACTTCGAAGAAATCTGTGGATGTCGCGGAGGTCCCTTAGAGGAGGCTTCCACGATCCTCGAGCAAGTGAGGCCAATGCTATTCAACAGCGCAACAGATGACCGTGGCACCGCACCTGACGTATGCCAACATTCTCGCTATCTTGCTCTAAATCTTCTTTGCCGGTAACGTACGTTTGGTGACTGACTTCTCCAATGCTTACCCGAAACAAGGCCGAAGTAGGCAGATGCCTAAATTGCATATCAAGGCACTTGTAAATCGTCTCACACTAATTGATTACCATATTCAGTTTTCGTGAACAAACATGTGAGGCCTAGGAGTATCTTTGATGCAATGAATGATCACCCTCATTTGACAACTGCCATATTAAACCAACGTAACAATAGAATTTGAGCATCCAAATATTACGTTATATGTTTACAGGGTTCGGCTGTTACCCAAAATAATGATAATAATTGGGGAGTCATCAATAACTTCATGTCTGAAACAGCGATACCTTTAGTGTACCTCTCCCTGGCAATTCCTTAAAATTTAAGTTAAATTTATTCAAACAAGAAGATATACACTTCGAGAAGGTGAATGCACAGCTCTATAAATCAGTTCAATGACCTTTAGAAGGCAAAAGTAAACGGACCTGCCAAAGATCCTCCTGAGAGGAAGAATCCCTACATTGAAGAAACTGAACAAATGATCCATCAAGCACAATCGCTCGGCAAAATGGTGAGTACAAGTTCATTTTGACCAGATATGGCGATTTTAACGATACTGCAGCTACTAAGGCTAAGTCAATGGCCACGTCAGTTTAGTGATAGAGTGCCACGTCGCCACTAAGCAACTAAGACAGTGGGTGAGATTAACTTGGGACATTTTCATTTTAATAGTTTACACTTGACTGCTTTTGACATTCTATTCTTGCGTCTCTAGCTCATTTCTCAAGAAGCAGCAAATTCAATTTTGGAGGACAGTTGTGCGAAGTTAAGGGAGACACTGGCAGTCCTTTACGATAAATTGCGGCAAAGAGGTGTTTACCTGGAGCCAGCATTTTCCCACGGTAAGCTGTTGTGGCAGTGCTTTTGGTTTTCGAGCCGCAACTTCGAATGATCTTTTAATTAGCTATGAACACGTGTGTCGACATTTGCACAAGGTTTGAAAGTATTAATGTGTGGTCTCTAAAGTTCTTTTTAACAACCGCGGCAGCTAGCTGGGAATAACTACGGTGAAAGGAAGGCTGGTCCTATCATGTTTAGTGCCCTCCTGAACTGCTTTAACTTGAGAACGCAAAAGGACTGTGTGACCGTTTTGCCTTGACGCAAGGAGTCACTGTGTACTTCTACAAGTAATTGTTAAATGTTTTCGACATTTTTAGCCTCCGAGACAATTGTTCACCCAAATCCACAACGACGGTAAGGTCTTCTTGTAGTTGACTAATTGCACCAGCTGTAGTCCTATTATAGTCTTTGTATATCTAAATAGACCTGAATTTGAAGGCTTTGAAATTTGGCAATTTTTATGTTTAGAAGAATTAGCTCTAAATCCTGTATTTACCAACCTCTGCAACTTCTCATTAGAGCTGATGGTGCACGTTTTGTGGCATCAACATATGCACACTCTAAAGTCACTTCAGATTGCTGCGCTGTTTTGAGTGCGAAAGGGTTTTTTGACGGACTACCTGTAACTTCAACCTCGAAAACTACCATGTCGCTCCAATGCGATGGTATTTTTTCATGTTAGCTGGCTTTTGTCAGGGCACTAACAACTCAACCACAAAAACGTTTGGGCGTAATAGAGAAGCAAGTAGTGCCTGAATTTTCTGATGTTCCGATCAACGCTTTCCACTTTTAATTCGACCTAAAATGGCCTTATGTACCTAGACTTCGATGTCACGTGTAGACATCAGCCAAATTATAATCCAGCTAAGTTTTTTCTCCAGGTCTTCTTTGCAGGATACTCCAGGTGCACTGACATCCCTTTCCTTCGATGAAGCTTCCAATCCGATTCCACGAGTCGCACGTCGCCATTCGCGTCGGAATCGCCGACCAAGTCAACCTCGTCCTCTATCTATGCAAGAGGAACAACGCCACCCAAATGAACTGACACCAAGTCTCCTCAGCACAGCAGCTAGCTCCGAGCAGACCCTAATTGGGCCCATCTTTGACGCGGCATCTGTTGAGACTCCAGTGGATGTAGTCTGTTCCCATTGTCTACAAACCGTCACTATCGGGATTCTGGAGATATCAATGAATCTTCTTACCTCTCGGACAGTCCCAAGCCCACAAACCATTAAGAGGATTCGAGCGTCAGCCAGCTGCCTCCTCTCCTATCTAACTGGCCACATTGCCGCAATCCGTCGGAGGACGGGTCTCCCCGACGAAGTGGTTGTAACTGGGCTGGCAAAGTTAGTGCAGAGGGACTACGACGCATCGCCGTTGGTTCAAGCTCTGATTGAAAACTGTGCTATAGAGGTGTGCAGTCAGATACTGGAGGAGATAGGTGGCAAGGACAAAGTTACTTTGACGGTCATGGCTAATGGGGTACCCTCCGACTGGTTAAATGGTGTTCCTGAAAAAGAAGACTTGAAATGGATGCTTCCTGGCTACATAGCAACCTGTTTTGTCCTCTACCGGCTAACTGAGTTGGGCGCGGGTAAAGTTGAGGACTACGAAAAGCTGCATGAAAAACTGGTCAATAGCAAGGTACCGGATAATAAAATTGAAGCCATGCTCGAATCCTTGTCTATAACACTTATTGAGTCGTTAGGACAACTAAAGAATAACGACTGTGGTCAAAGGTGAGTATAAATGCTTATGAACATTCTTTTCATGATTGAAGTTAACCACTACATCGATTTTTTATATCTTTTAATAGCCACGCCATGTTTTCAATGCATTGTTGATCGCAACACGAGACCATGATTTTAAAAGCAGGGCAGTAGCACAGGAGAGAGGTACTTTGAGGTAGGAAGATGTATCTTTCCAGAACCAGCGAATCAAGACTACTAATGTTATGGTGGCTGTAAAATACCAACAACCTCTTTATTTATTATAAAACCATAATTTTCTGAAATTAAGTAACTTTCTAAGGGGCTTGTATTCCAACGTATTAAGCTCGAAAAATGTTTAATCAATTCGCAAGAAGAAGAAAAATATAATTTTCTGATTGTATTGTTCACTCAAAGTAGACTTCGGAGAATGCGAGTCAGAGAGGGCAATGTTTATTAGGCTACCTTACTTTGCGAAGTTTAGAGGCGCTTGTCTTCATATTTTGAACTGTATTTTTTTCAACTTTTCCATCTTGCCGAGTCTACAAACCGCCCTCCCTCATTCGAAAAAGTATTTTTTCCCTTCGATTTGGAGTCTTCGTTTTAAAAGCACAAAGTTGCTGAAAGTAGAATCTTGTTTGCCCCAACAACTCTGATCTCCGAGATATTTTGAACTCTACCACGTTAGTGCCTGTTTAATTAACAAAAGAGTATCACCGTGTCGGTAACAAAATGAGCCAACGTAACCGATGTGTATCTTAGTGTGTTTAAGAAATAATACTCACGAAAATTTTCACTCGCAAACCAAATGATTTTGATGGATTGATGTCAAAATGATGCCAATTAACATCGGAGCAGATGCCTTCTGGTAATCACATTCATGAGTTTAGGGTGATGCAAAGCTAATATTTATGGAAATGATGGCTGTAATTGAATGCACATGTAACATGAAGCTTGGGACATTGCTGTAATTGAATGATCGAATACTTGCATTAAGATGAGGCACAAAAAGTGGTATACAATCTTGAACTTCTTCCGTAATTCGGTGTACTCAATTTCAGTGAATCCCACCTGCAAATGGGACTCGAATTTGAGTCAATATTTCACGAACTACTGGCGTCGAAGTCTGGCGTAAGATCAGTGGATATCCTGGGTTCAGAAGGTGCGCATTCGCGGAGCATCGATGCTAACAGGTGAGTGACTTGAGTTAGCACTTCAACAAGTCTTTTCCTTCGAGCTTCTTTGCACCTGACATTCTTATATAAGAACAAACTGATTGACCTTTTCAAGGCGTACTTCGTGTTTTCATTAAATTTAAAAATGAATTAACCGTGGTGTTTCCGAATATGGTGCATTTTGTCGATGCTGCAGTGCGTACAGCAATGAAAAGCGAACCCTATATTTCTGGGCGCTGATTCACAAATGTGAATGGAATGGAATTACATGTCCTCAGAGGAGACCTGAAAACCAGCTTTAATTATTGTTACCCTTTAGTAGATACATCTTGAGTTTACAAAAGTTGCGTAATTATTTCTCTAAAAAGGATTTAGGTAGATCATTTGCATGTTCATTGCTTGTACTTGTTTTTAGTCATAAGCTCCTTTTCAATGAATAGATTAAATCCCATGAAATTTGACGGAATTTCTTGTTGTGCTTTTTAGGTTATTTAGCAGCAAGGTAACAAGCCCCAGTGATCCAGTAAGTGCACTTTAGCTGGTTTAAATGGAAGTAGAATCCGCGTGAAGTCAACAGCTTTCTTTTATGACACATTTTAGTTGGCACTGGATGAGTTGCGTTCTACTTTTACGCACGGAACTCCAACTGACAGCGCATTCCAGTGAGTTTCCGAGTTCAAAACAACTTTGCAGTGTGATGAATGGCTGGTGAGGCAAATATAATTTAATCAGCCTTCGTAAATGCTCACGCGCTACAACAAGACCAAAAAAGTGCGTTTCATTGCGGCAAAAAGTGCCGGGTAATGACTTCGCAGTTCTTAATTTCTGCCTCCTAAAAGCTGATTATCAACTTGTAGTGCGAGTAGTTTCAATGGGTCGAAATATCCTAATTATACCTCCTTTTTTCTGCTACTCGTCATCAGTCTATGGACGAGAAAGATAACGTATTTCCTACTTTACTGTACGAAATCATTTGGGAATCAGCGTTTTAACAATCGAAAACCTTCAGACAAAAGCACAAAATCACATCATCACCTGTCAAGATGGGACTTTGCAACTTAATTAGGGAACTGAAAATGTAGGCCGCATGATGCGAAAAAAGAAGTCAACTCTTACACAGGTTTTCCAAGAATCGATTCAGCATTTCTCACCCTAAAAACATATTCATTGGGTTTTTACGGACTCAAAGGGGTCTCCCACAGAAATCCACCAATCTCCATGGCAATGGACTCGATGCACTGAGTGATTTAAGCTAGACGCGCACATAAACAATGGCGAAACTTACCTGAGTAAATCAACTTACGTCTAAATGCTGCTGAGTTTTTAGTAGTACAATTGTCATTTCATCTACTTTTACATTATTTAACGTGCTATTTTGGCACGCCTTGCAATTACGTCAATGTACAGTTTAAAGTGCACTTGCATACTAAAAATGGACTAAACCATCTCGAGATGAAAGGTGAGTGTGTGGGCACATGGCAGGATGCTAGACGAATCTTGTGCGACCTCTTCAGACTTGAAATGGACTCTTTTATGGTTCTCCGTACTTCGATTCAAAGCCCCGAGCGTAAATAGCCGATTACCTCGTTAGCTCACCATCGGCCTTCTCACACTGGAGTTTGGGAAAAACACATGGAGCAGCGCCTCCTCGCACTAATACAAGACATGATAGGACCTCGTGCAGCCAAAGTTCGAGTGTACGTTTATATGGGCGCCCCTGAGCGCGGGCAAAAGATATCGTGCACTCAACGGTGTAGGGGCCAATAGGAAGAAGGAGGGCAGTATGAATACGATAGTTGGTGTGAATAAACGTGAATGTGAATAAAAAAAGAAAACTGTGAAAATCTGAAAAGATATAGTCTTGGAGATGCTGAATCCCCAGGAGATTTGCACTCTGTTAATTTTGCTGTGCGCAATTTCCTTGATCCGCGGTCAAAATAAATCGTGACAGCACTGATCACGCCCATAAATTATTGTGCAAGCAGCCTCCAGTCAAGGGCCTGTTTGTAGTGTTGTGCTTACTGACAAGTGCGCTGCTCCTTGAACTTGATCCTCCATGTTTTCGTCATCGAGACAGGCACAAAGGTTCTGGCTATTACTTCGGGTTGTGTTTAGTGGTCTTTACTAATGAGAAATCTCGTAGGTTTCCAATGTGGTTTGTCGGGTCACTATGCCTTGGAAGAACTCGGAGAGTCACAGCGATTTTGGCTCACCCGATGTGCGGGATTGCAATGACTTGCTTGCACTACCTGACAACCCTGCTAGTTAACATCCGTAACGACCCAAGAACGGGGGTAAGGGAGGCTGCAACGGGCACAACCATTTAATAGTGTCACACCAGCCTGGTGCGACTAATAACAGTAGCCAATGCATTGGGTGGGGGGATTAAGTAATGACACCATCAAGTCAGCAAACAATCTGCCCTCAGGTCCACTTTCGGGACTCGCCAATATGCCGAGTTTGTTCTTAGTGTTTCGCCCAACTGTTGCACCTTCCATATTTCGTTAACCAGAGCTTTGAGAGCAAGTATGTAAATACTTTTGTCAAATACAAAAATGGGGCTTCTCTCCATTGGACAAAGGGCAACAGACACGAACCCAGTAGCAATGGGGGCAACGCTAAATTACAATGCTTTCTCCTTCGACGTTATCAGCTGAGATATTTAAGGAAGTGATCTTGCAGCATCGAATTCCCATAATTACTGGTCAAATCAGAGGATTTACCCAGTCACATTATTTTCTGCTTTCCATCAAACATTCCATTCAAATATCCTTGTCCCTAGTAACACCAATTCGCAATTTGTCATTTGAAATAAAGTCAACTACGTCGCATGGAGAACGCTGCGCATATTGTCTTTATTTGTGATATTCGTTTGCTGTGCTTTTTCACACACAGTGTCTGCACAAGGCAGCCCCGGTGAATTAGCGCTATCAGCAACTGTAATTAAGTTACTTTATTGGTCTCAGGGGACTTTTTTGCCTTGAATGTAGAAGTCAACTGACTTTCTCACCAAATGAGAACCACACGTGTGACGAAGTGGAGAGCCTATCAGAACAAATTCGTCAGCTGACGCCTGACGAGAGGCTGCAAAACCACGACGGGAATGAGGCTCTGGAAGGGCTTAACGTCGACGCCAACGACTATATCCGTGTAGTTGCTGCCCTCCGGAGGGAGTTCGAAGAAGACAAACGAAGATTACTGGAGGACGTCAAGCAGAACTGGTTCCATCGTGACTACTACGATGCCTTTGCTGTTGAATCTGAGTGAGTCAGCTTCCCGAGAACTCTAGGTACACACACACGCACACCCGTACACACGTCGACGCCGGTGGCCAGAGCAATTTTACCCGTTGGCTTTGCATGCAGTTCGTTTTAGGCTCCACATTAAGACTTTTATCCTGTGTTTCTAGCTGACCGAGAGGAAAACATCAATAATCAGTGAGGCTGGCTATTTGTGAATCCAGTTGTTTTAATTCACTTAATGGTTAAGCGTTGCCCCAATAATCTCTCGTTTGCTTTACCTAATCGGATCACTGCTGAATCCCAGCATGAGAGAAAGAATGTTTTAAAATGAGCACACACTACATCTCCAAATAACGAACTTTGAGTGGAATAAGGATAAGCCGCCCAGCACTATCCCAAACCTGGACACTCCAGGTGAATGCAAAAACATTATCAGGGTTAAATACCAAAAAAAAACTTGAATCGATTTACTGAGCATCGTAATTTCAACTAGCAAATGGTCACTCCAATTATGTCTATTTTGAATTATTTGTATCAAATAAAACCCATAAAGTACGCCTAAATCCTACCAGTTACCGTTTAAAAGCGTTACACGTCAGAAAGTTTGTTTCTGATGGAGTTTTAAAACAGTTCTGAGATTGTGTGCTGGTTCTTGGTTTTTGTAACGAGTCAGCAAAACTTGGCAGCTTATCCCGCTAGGCTGACGAAAGCACTTTCACACATGGATATGTAGAATCCCGCTACTTTTGTCGCAGACACACTGCCGACTCAGGCCTTTCCCAAAGGCATTCACGTGGCGGAAGTGTTTAACCTCTTTAATTGTCTGGCACCTGTCTAGATGTTGCTGGCATTGCCTAATCCATGAAAGCAGTTACGAGCAAGGTGTTCCTGCACTTTAAAGTGAACATCCCTAATCTAGTAACCAAATTCATGGCACCATGGAGTATGGCACACTAGCAAGGTAAACTCAATTTAATTTTGTGCGCGGAAATAAAGTTCAGATTCGGCGTCTACCCAAATAACACTTCTCAATTCGGCATCAGTTTCAGTAGTAAATGCTCACCTCTTTTTTTACTACTTGATTCAATTTTGTCACATTATGGGGTAGTGCGATAAGCACGATCTACTTTATTGAAAAAGGCCATTTCGCATTTAAGCTTATCCACTCCATTGGGACACAATCCTGCTGGTGTGTGGTAGTTTCAATTCCCGATGGGGTCAGAGGCGATTCGATGATGTCACACAGGGTTATTCTATTTAAACATTCACCACGTAAAACTTTTTTTAACACAAATCTATATTCCTTTGAATTTGCAAAAGACTACAGCTCAAGAATCTGCACTCTCAGCTAAACAGGCTTTGTGCCCTTTCTGCTTCAAACAAAGGACGTGAAGCAGGTTCCAATTCCTCCTCCGCTAATCGAATAGCCGAACTGATGGACATCATTCGAGAGAGGTGAGTACTCTGTTATTACCTCACTGCAGCAGAAATGTAGGGGCACGATACTACACAAAGTACCCAAAAACAAAAAATGAGACAGGCCGGATAGACTCAAGTGTTTACCGGATTGCTCAGCCAAGTCGGATCATTGTCGAGTACATGTATTCAAAGGTAGTGCCTTGTTTAGGCTGGGTCGTATGATGCAGCCTGGACTGAAAATCGAGCATCCCCGTTTTGTTTTTCAAAACACTCTACCCGTCACCAACTGCAGGTATATGAACAGTTTTAAATGAAACAATATTTCGAGAATTGTCAAATTTCGTTTGAACATTGTCTGCAAATGTAAAGCACAATGTAGGCATGATAAATAACACCGCAGATGAGTAAGTCGAGCTCCAGGCAATGAGACAATGTGTTTTGGAGCTAACTGGTTCGATCAGAAAAAGAAGGGATAGCATGTTACAAATACACATGAACACAAGCATAATTTGTCAGGGGTCATGCTTTAAAAACTAGTACACAACATTTTAACGTCCTTTGACGACTGAACTCTGTTTCATTCTAAAAATGACAAAAAGTGCTAATTTTGGAACCGCTCTTTTAATGTAGCCACACAGTTTTGTTGGATCAGGTTGAGAATGCCATAAACGTCTTTTCCGAATTCGTCAACACCGCTGTGGACAATCAGGAAGGTCTCCATGCGGATTCATTCAACGAACTTTCAGGACGAATTCCAGAGGCCCTCGGTGGCCTTGCTGCAGCTGCAAACGATCTTCGTGCGCGTCTTTATTGGGATCCTAATGTAACGGAGGATTACGAGGGTGAAGCACGCAGAATAAAAACCAACCCCTCCCCACTGGGCTTCACAATTAGTCTCGGAGAGAAGGAAGATCCTGACGAAATAAGTGAGAGTGAAATATGACGAAAACAGCCGACACTATTGTGCCTTTGTACAGTCAGTTATATCTTGCGCAATCTGCACAAAACATTGCAATGTCACTACTTATTTTCACTTAAATTAAAAGTCAAATTTTCTCTTTCATCATTATGCAGTTTTGAGACAACTTCCAATTAACTTCAGATATCCTATTTACCACGCAAAGCATTTACATGCAAAAACAAACCTGGTTTCGGTTTACATTTACTATAAAGCTATAAGAGGAGAATGCACTTATCGATGGCACGCCTAAATATGTAAAAAAATATAGACAAAGTGGAATTAGACGAAAATCTCAGACAAAAATGCGAGTCCAATTAGTCGAAATATGGTTGGTATTAATTTTTTTATAATAAAACACAGTGAACTTTAAATATTGCTTTAAAATTTCAACGGGGTCTAAAAATACAAAAATTTTAAGCATAGATCAATTCGATGTTTCGTTTCTTTCGTAAAATTTTATTCATTTTTTACTGGTTCTGAGGCAAAGTGGATCAATTTATCCTTGAAATTAGAATTTAATACAGAATTTTGGCAGGTCTAAATCCAAACTACGATTCTACAACGCATTATCGGTTGTTAAAGTGTGCTAGTATTTGGCGCTGAATATCAACAACCCTTTAATTGCTTGAAAATTTTAACAGAGTCTGTACAACTCATTCGTGAGTGGTTTTTGAAATACGTCACACATGTCAAAGGGACTGATTACAATAGGGCAAGAGTGGTCGACATCGACGAGGGACTACCGTCCTCATCTTTTGTCAATAATGAACCAGTCAAAGCAGTACTTCGTATGAAGGATATACTACTATCCACACACGATATATTCTAAATTTTCATGTACCTAATCAATCAATTAAATATACCTTGTACGTTAATAGCCTTATTTCTGTTCACTGAAAGTAAACCATCCGGTAAGATGCAATTCATAGTTTTTGAGGGTTAATATTTTGTAAATGGACGAGAACATCATAATGATTACTAAGCAGCAAACTTCATGTTAATTCAAGAAAAAAGCCCTTCGGTGATTGGGCTAAACAATTACCCAGTTTTTCCATCGAATAGAGCATTAAAACCGTTGCTGATATTTAATTTATTACAAATTAAATGAGCTTGTTCTCTTTTTCGTTTATGCGAATAAACGAGTAGAAAAAGTAGTTCTTAAAATTTAACGGTTTTTGGGAAAAATATTGGAAATTAGTAGAAGGAATGACAATAAAATGCGAAATTTGGAGTTCTAAATTATTCGTTAACTTCATGACATGGAGGAGATCAGATATTAGAAGAATTTTTTGCCTCTTTATATTTTATTACAATCGACAGTTTCCCGTGACCTTAGTCCAATCGGGCCTTCCCGGTTATAAAATTGCAACCGTTATAGGTCAAGAATCAAGTCTAGCAAAATTGAAAAAAATGCGCATTATACATAAATATACTTAGTTTTGTTATGCAAACATGAAAAATCATAACGTAATAAAATTTACGGTCTTTTGAAATTTTTATAATTGCATCAGAATATTGGTTTTTCTAGAACAATTATGTAGAATCAAAATTATAAAAGAAGTGGTTTCCGCTTTTTTTATTAAATTCCGAGATACATGTTATAAACTTTAAAATAAATAATTTATGCCCTTATTACTTCATCAGGTTTGATACCCACTTTAGTTAAAGCGCGTAATAAACACAACCCATTGCAGGCACAGTTGTTTGGAGTGTTGGCTAGGACTACGCAACATTTAGTAAGGGGAAAATTAATGCTACCGCAAGTCTTTTTTTATAACCCAGAATGATAAGAAAATGAAAAGATATTGACCAGCCATCATTTAAAATTGGCTCCTGTCGTGTCACATTTCTGCGCATTTCTTAAAATCGTGTGGAATTTGTTCATTTTGTCTTCATGGTAAATGCATACAGTTTGGATGGTGTGCTAACGATAGCACTGCTCTTTATATGCGCATGTGCATACATGCGGAGAGTAACAAGGCTCAAGAATTTGCTGTTCAATGAAAACAAAGGATTCTGGGGTATTTTCTACAAGTCAGCTGTTATTGGAATTCGATTGCATATATTAGTATCGATCTCCTGTATTTCAATGGCATTCTATCTATTACTTTTCCGTTAATTCCTGTGCTAATAAAGTGCTTATGAGAAACACGACCTTTTAAATTGGTGTAATGGCTACTTAAACTTGTGGTTCCAGTTTTGTTTCTGTATTTTGTCAGCGCATGGATGAAATCTCTAAGAGTAATGAGGTCACGTTCGCGGCGACTGATCAAAAGATCGAACTGGAAAAACTTATTCAAATGTTATTGCTTTCATCGGATGTTAGCAGTAATCTATCTTCCGATCCTCAATTAGTGGATTGCGTTTCCAGGTTATCCGTCCTGCGTCTAGATGAATTAGCTGCCATTCCAAAACGAATTGAAGCAGAAGAAGATAGAATAAGGCACAAAACAGAACAACTTGCTGTGGAAAATTACCCTATTTTCCTTGCCAACGCGAATACAAGCCGTGAAGTACATAGAGAATTCATCTCAATCTCATCGTCGAATGAAAATTTGCTCGCCAACATTGGTGCTGTGTCTTGTGCTGCCCAGAAAATGTTCGATAATATTGGGAGAAATGCAAATGCTTTTCGTGTTGCTGCCAAATCAGTCCAGAATTATGCTCAGGTGCGAAAAATTTTCTCAGTTCATTTCACAATTCGGTTTCCCTTAATTTCCTACGTATGTTTTTTCTCAGATACTTGAGTTTCTGGAGTTGCCTCAATTTATGGAAACCTGCGTTCAGAATGGTTATTACCAGGATGCCCTCAACATTCTAAATCACACCAAGCAGATGACGAAGAAATATGGTCAAACGATACCCATCGTTCGAATTGTAGGTCTCCAGACTCAAGAGATCAGTGGCCAACTTTTTAGTCAACTTTGCAAGCAGCTTAGAGAGCCGATCACATTGCCCATCTGTCTAAAAGTAAGTAAAATGTTTTTCATAGCATCGAATTCGCCTTTGCAAAAGCAACTGACCTCGCCGGTCTTTTATTTCAGGCTGTGATTTATTTGCGCCAACTTGAAGTCTTTACTGAACAGGAATTGCGGTTGAATTTTCTTCAAGCGCGAAGCATCTGCATTCACGAGCAACTAGAAGTGGCCCTGGCTAAACCGATTGGAATTTCAAATTTTGGTTCATCTGCTAAGGTGCCACATCTTGTCGGATATCAGAAAGCGGAATACGTGGCTTTCATTCGAGCAATGAGACGGATCGAAGTAACCCGTGTTCATTTGTTTGACAGTATAACGCAATATCGGTTAGTCCCATTTATCCTTGTTATCTTACTTCGATGGTGGACGTTAAAAACAATGTAGTAAAAAAGGAGAATAACTGATTGATTCCTAATCAAGAGACACATTTTTTTTGTTTTTATTGATACAGGTAAAACCTTGTAACTTGTCTCAGATTTATAGACTAAAGCGCTTAGATCGGCTCTCGGTCTCAATTTACGTCCATAACCAGTAAGACTACATAAAGTATAACGAACTGGCTGATACCTCGAAACTAAATGATACGCGAGGCCGTCAACCCAACGTTGCATATAGATGCCTCTCGAGTTCCACACCCTACCATTTCCTCATCTGTCTGTGTGTCGCCGTTTTAGCGCTATATTTGCAGACGAGGAAACGTACTCCGCTCACTCAACGGACCCACATCAACAGCCAGTTTTTGCAGATATGTCGCCGCTTTACCAAGACGAGCTTCCTCGACCATTGCGGTACCTTTCTGCCAATCGGGTTAATGGCCTCACTCCAGCCAACGAAACCAGCCTCTTTCATGCCTGGTTGGTACGTCAAGTTGATATCTTCTTGGATGGTCTTATTGACGATCTCACAAGCCTTCTTCATCTGCCGCTACTCACCCCTTCCGAAGTTAGCGATCGATTCCAACTTGCAATGTCGAATGACTTGATCACCACTGAGGATGTTGACGTCTCAATAGCCTTCCAGCAGGTGCATTCGGTTATGACTCAAGCGCTTTACTTCGGCCGGTCGTTCGCACGCATCGGGTGCGATTTCCGCCCTCATTTGGGTGCTGTTTTTTCTCGAGCCATTTTGACTTACTTTGAGGTAAGCTGTGTGTTTTAAAGTTGCACTCCCATCTTGGATAAGTTCCTGACCTGGTTTTTCTTTTATTTCACAGACGCTGATGGCAAATGCGCTAACAGAATTGAACGTCTTTCTTGAGCTTTGGCCTTGGGAGTTGGATTCCTCGTTTACAATGCAATCGGATGAGATTAGCCGTGGAGAGGTTGAAGCACCGTCAGCCATTGCACGTTATCCTATACTTGCCTTCTTTTGCAATCGTCTCCTCACGTCATTAAATGGGCTGCGAGTCTGTTGCCCAATCGGTCTTAAGCAGGGGTAAGTTAACGACAAATTGAGCCACCGGCGTACACCTGCGACTTACCTCACTGCATGTTTATCACCACGATCTGACGATAATTTTTTTTCGGTTCGTGATTGACGCAGTAAGCGAAGGAGTAGAATACGTGGTCGCGTTTGTTAAAGGAAATTCGCCAGTAGTGCTTGCGAACTGTGGTGTTTATAAAAACCAATTCAATAATAAATCATATTTAGTCGTTCACGAGAGAATAGATAAGTTTGATTATGTTTTAAGGGATAGTTTACTGTAAATTTCGAGCAGCTAAGGGTTATTACCACGGTTGATTCTTGAGGGCTATTCGTTCTCTGGTAGGTATTTTCCTTCTACTTCGTTGGTTTGCTCCACAGGGTTCTATCGGCATGCACCCGAACACTGCACGATGCAGCGGAGTCAATCATAGCAGCACACAAGTCTCGTCAGTTGGACACAACTAAGGCACGCAAACAGAGCGTCCACCTCGCCTCCGTCTTCGCTCACGTGCTAACGCCGCATCTTCTGACCTGCTTGCTGGAGCACGTGTTTCGCGGTGACTCGGAGGCGCATTTGTGGCAGCTGCACTTCGAAAACCCTCCTAGCACAGCTCAGACAATCTCTCAGCTCAAGAAGCAGATTTGCGCGTCACTCTTCGTCGTGTGGGGACAACTCGCCTATGGGCCGTGTCAGGAAGACGATGGGGAGGAGGTGGAGGTTTCACAACCGATTTCTTCATCTGGAACAAAATTGTCTGTTGACGCTCCTCGTTTAGATGAACTTGGAAGGAATCACGAAAAGCCAACCCTCCAAGTCACTTCCAGCGACAGTGTTTCTTCAACTCCAAAGGATGTGGAATCAGTCAGCGAAGTCTTACCTGTTATTGCAACTGAGGTTGAGCGTAAAGTACCAGGAACCAAAACATCTGTTGAGGGTTTGCAGTCGAACAGTGAAGATGAGGAACCTGAGACGATGGCACCTCTGACAATGAAATCAGACCCTTCTCCTGAAAAAGGTGATTTAGAACGTAATTTAAGCGAATATGCGTCTGTGTCTTCAACTGATAGTAAACATGAGCGACTCGCGGATGATTTGCAAATTGCACCGACTGAAGATCAGTCCGTTGACGGCGTGCAGCTCCGCCATGATACCACCAAGGATTCGCTGGAATTTTCCCCATTGCCGACTCAGTTTATTCCTATTCAGACGGAGGAGTCAAAAGCACACGATTCGTCGCCAAGTACTGCAGTCGACACAACTCCGCCTCCTCTCGTGTCTATCGGACAAGGTGAACCGTCACCAATCGTTGATATCGCGGAGCCTTCAGATTCAACGAGCCTTGCAATGAACCCCATAGCGGATTCTGTCGTTTCTACGGATGCATATGAGGTCGCACGACAATTTTTCAAACAGGCCCCTATTACTGAACCGGTTAAAGGGTTGACCGAGCAATTTGGCGAGGAAGTCTGTGGTGACGGTGGGATCGGAGAGGAGACCGTTCATCAAGGCTTTGCAGAACCTCAACCCATCTTGCTAAATGAAGGCAATGCAGTCGCCGCGTCTAAGCAATCTCATTCTGATGTCGGAATCTCTCCTGTTAAAGCAGGTGTACTCAACGCCATGACATCATTGCAACATGACCCCATGTCTTCAAAATCGCAACCTGGTCGTCCTCACTCCCGTGACATCGACAACCTGAAAAGTGAGCAGGTAGTTGGAGAAGCCGAAACAGAAGAACATTTCCACTCTTCGACAGTTTTTGATTCACTAGAACCCAATGAAGGCGATCCCTCAGAACAACAAGCACTACCTTTTGCTCAAGAAACGGAGCATCAGGCCATGGAATGTGTGAGGTTGATTTCAGATGTCGCGGCCCTAACCAATGATGATTCCCGAGTCGAGGCATCTACTGATCCGTCTCCTCATGCCGATCCATTCATACCGGAGTTGTCGACATTGCTGGAAAATAATGGGAGCGATAGGGTAGTTCAGGTAACTCGATTTGCCGATCCGTTTGCCCCAGTTATACCTGACGACCAGGTAGAAGTCGGAAGTGATGAGCATGAGTTTCGTATCCAAGTAACTAGGGATGAATCTGCCTCTTTTCAAACTACGGACTTGGGAAAGGAAGAAGCCAGTTATGGAACTCCAGAAACCAAGATAGCAGACACTGAAGCACCCTTCGACGTGGTCAATTCCACCGACAAACCTAAAACCGACGATTTTGAGCCTTTCTTATCAGAACCCAAGTTGGCACCTCAGGTCTCCGCTGTTATAGAAACATTCCCCTCTGAAGTTGTCTGTGGTAATGCTGGTGCTTTGATAGAAAAGGAAACATCAGAACACCCCCATGTTACAAATGATTTGGTCGAGAAGGATCATCCAGCCATAAAACCTCCGTCTTCAGCAGATTCCATTCAGGAAGGGCTCTCCACAAAGCCCCCGCAGCTACTGAGTACAGATGCAGAAAGTGATGTGAACAGTGAAACTCCAAGCATTGAGCATTCCAAACCTGAATCAGCCGATGTAAGGCATCATGAATATGACCATGATATGCCAGAAAATGAATGTGGTATGTACAATACAGTGTCGCAGCCGAGCACGCAGCATTCGCTTTCAGTCGATGTACATGAAGTCGCCGACCCTCCAAGTGCTCTCAACCAACCGGAAATCGATGAAGCGAACCAATCGAATGCGTGTGATGCTTCTTCGTATGCAAACACATCTGCAGTACAGCCTGAATCAGACTTCCGTGGTTCCTTGCGAGATTCAACTGAAGGCGAAATTTGGTCATCGGACAGGACTTGGAATGCGGATGTAGAAGTTGAGGTTCTGATGCCGAGTCAAATGGATGATCAGGAATCTGAGCCGACAGTAGTGGAGAGCACACCTTTAAGTCGCGAAGTGGTCGGCGAATTCGATGTCAGCGAAAAACCGCAGCCTTCTCTGGCTGATGAATGCAGACTTGAAAGTGGTAGCCCTGTTCTCGAAGCACCACCTTGTGATAACGCGAAAGACGTGTCCCCTTTGAACGAGGCTCCCGTTTCTGTAAATCCGCGTGCGAGGGAAGAGGAAGAAGTGCTGCCACCTGCTGATATTTCTGACGTCGATGCACTTTTCCGTGACTCCGATTACACAACCCCATCTGGTGATAACGAACGGCGCCCCGTGCACACCGTCGATATTCGTGAATGCGATTCAATGCTTAATGTAGAAAAATCAAGTACTGCTGTTTGTTGCGGTGAAGACGGTGATTTGTGGGCTGGGTCAGTCGATAATACAGGACGTTCAGCATCTTCCGAACCTTCGAAGATGCAGTACTCAGGTGACTCGGAAAGCCTTGTGGTGCGTGAACCGGCGGGGCGTCGTTTAGAAGGGAATACCAACGATTGTTTTGTCAGTGAGAATTGTGGGAGCGTGAAATTGACCGCGGATCAAGAATCGAACAGTGGAACTGTCCTGTCACCAGAAACTCCCCAATGTGTAGCTGATCGTAAAACGCTTATTCCTTCAGGTGAGATTACGTCGGAAATTCCATTCTGTGAAAATGAAAATGAAGACGGCACTGGGTGGGACAATGAGGATGTTGCTTGGAGTGAGGCAGGAGATCAAAGCGATTTTCTTGCTCATTCACAACCGGAGGAAAAACGTTTTTCTGGAGTCGATGCCCCTGAACAAAAACACCCAGATACGGTCAAAGTTGATACTCAAAAGTGCTTCCCTGATGAGCAGTGGGAGGACGATGAACCCGAGACTGCAAAACATGTAGAATTGGCTCAAGCTATCGATTCTGCCGTGGTTTACGGACAGCCGACAATTCCGGGTGCTGAATCACCAGAAATTGGAAATGATCCCAGTGCAATGTGGTCCTGGAACCCAGAGACCACATGGGGTGAAGATGAAAATGCTTGGACTGATGGTGCCGTAGATAATGCGGAACAGCCGGATCTATCTCCACGTTGTAACATCGAAAACGCAGCCACCGAAAGTAAGCGTGATCAGTCTGAAAGCAGTTTGGGTGATGAGAGATCCCTGAACGTTGGAAAAGACCAAAGTTCTGAACATCGAGTCGATCCGTCTTCGAGCAGTTTGGCCTTATCGTCTCCCGAGTCAGCTGGAGGTGCCAGGTATGAAGTTTCTGCAGCTCCAGACATTCCTGCTTCCGATGAGGCCGCCAACATCACCTTGTGTGCGACAGAGGCCTCCGTTAGTGCAAGTGATGCCAACCCCACTGACCTCGAGGCTCCCCCCTCGCCGATCTCCAAGCTGCGGTTTGACGAGTCCGTGGTTGCTGAAAGCGAGTCGGCCGATTGGGGCGAAGATTGGCCAGCGGATGACGATGCTGTTGCTTCTGCGCTGGATCTACCACCTACGCTCAACTTCGACGGGAGTGTGGAAGCTGCTCGTTCAAGTTCTCTTCCAGTCGAAGCGGTGGGTGCCGACAGCAACGCACACCAAGATGCCTCCACGGCGACACCCAGTTGTCCAGAAGACGCGAAAACCCTCGCCACCGACCTCACCGATGCGGCGGGCGGTGAAGCTTGGGACGTTGACTTTTGATTTTGTATACCTTGAACACCCTCCTGTGTCTTTCATTGGTTATTTTCAACACTACTTTATTCTCTGAAGTAGTATTCTGCCCCTCTAGTAGCATTAAGCCTATCTGTGTGGGCTAGGTTACTGTGCTTCACTCGGATTCAGTCTGATTATTGGTGCGATCTGGCACGTGCTCAGGGGATAGATCTTAAGTCATTGCTCACCCTCTATACTGCCTCGATCTCGATTTGTGGACGAGAGTAGTGGGAGAACGGTTTTGGTGTGAGGAGAAAGGAAATGAGGCAAGTCCTGCGACAACCGATTCAAACAAAACGAACCATGTCCGAGAGCCTTGTGTGTTGCTGAAGGCTCTCTGTTTATTTTGAACAAAAAGAGCTATTTGAGGGTGGGTTCTATAAGTGTAATGTGTGATGACCATTTATTGAGAAAGAATTTTTCCCCAAGGCCTTGTGGGTAGTTTGATTAGCATGAGGCGAGGGAGCAGTGTGCCTTCTTTGCATTTTGACTCCAACTCCCGTCGCTGCTTACGTAGCGTTACCCTGCTGCACACAACGGCTGCAGCCATAACTGTGTCGCGATGTGATTGGGTGGTTTCGAGGCAATCAACTACTGTGGAGGAGTTATTGTGTGTGTGTGTGTGTGTGTGTACCCACCACGAGCATGTTTTTATCGATCGCCATTAACTATCTTTCGGGTAACGTGTATCTTTGGTAAGGTTGCCTCAGTTGAGACGTTTTAACTTCAACGGTGATGCTAGGGAATGTAATTGAAAAGGAAGATGTCCAAAGAATTAGGGGCAGCTTCAATAAGATTCGTCTTTTTCACCGGTACCAAAGCTTCAGTCGATTGCTTTTTTTATACGGAGCCATCACTCAAGTCACTTCAGTCGATATCTTTATTTCCTCAATCTAGTATTTCAAGTTATAACTGGTTGTAGCGAATTCGAGGCACCGTTTGGTTAAAAATATTCATATGCCTTGTTGTAAAAACATTACTACTTGAATTAAATCAGTACAGTGGCATGATGTTAATCGGCTATTGCGATTTAAATTTGTGAACTCAAATTTCGTCTTATGCCAACCGCATTAGGACAGGAAGTACCGACATCTAGGAATTACTTTCGGAGTACAGAAGGCATTAAACCCCAGTATAACCCCTTTTTCTTCCTCTTATAGTGTTTACATTTGCGATATTTTGGAGCTGAATTTGTCTACATTTTAACAAAAATCCACACACTTATTCCTGCCTCTTAGTAGTTTTCCTTCAAATTTACGCCACCGTACAAATAAAGTCCGTCGCCTAAAAGTCTTCAGCTTTCAATGTTACAATGTCCTTTTAATGTTCCGTGCATTTTTGGACTGCAGCCTATCCAATTACCGAAATCGTTAGTTCCGAAATCCGATCACTTGCATTGTGAGCGGATGTGCAACGGTGTGGTTCACTATTATTGCCTGAGTACATGGTTGACTGGCTCACGTAATTCAAACCACTGTGGAAACCCAACAGATAGTAACATCTGCACACACTTCTAATCCCCTTGTGAATTGAGCGCATTCGACCAAAAACCACTGCAAATCCAGCTACACAATCCCTCCAAGTACCCTGGTCTCAGCTGAAAATCCAAATTAGCCCAAAAAACCATGTAAGCGGTGAATTAAAACGACGAAAGTGCAGTTTTGATATGCCATTTTCAGTGACCACTTAAGTGCATTTAACGAGCCAAACAGAGTGTGGGTGAATGCGGGGGAAATGCTGGTGTGTCCAATAAAATGGGTAAGTTTTTTTCATTTGACAGATTTAATTATACATGTCTACGCTTAGTACTCAGGGCGGAAATCCTTTACGCGAGGTCAAGGTCACCCCCTAACGACCTCAAAATTGTACTATAGGAATCGAGGCGGCAGCATTCCTCAAGGAAATGTACTTTCCTAATTGTATAAAGTGAGGAATCTAGTGTGAATCACTTGCATTAATTTTGCAACTCAAATTGTAATCCTTGGTGGACAAATTACACGCCACAATTTGATTTTATTGCGGCCGTAATGTGCTGTGACTCATGTTGATTCGCACTCGTTGATCCGATCACTCCAGCCTCCGACACAGGATCGTCCTTTTCGCAGCATGTCGCCAGCCGTGCGGATCCTCAACTCCTCCTACATTAGCCTTAACAATTATTCAAGATTATTCCCACACCCAGGTCTCGATGTTAACACATCTATGACTCACGCATCCGATGTATAAATGCACACGCACAAATCCATCACACGACAACGACACCAACCTGGTTGAGCTCCGAAGTAAACGTTTGCGTCCACGTCCTCTCCGGTCCTTTTCTTCGTCGTGGGTATCAGGGAAGCGTAATCGGGCCAGGGTTAATTCAGTGGCCCCGGCGTGGTTCAAGACCGCATGCCGGGTCCCACAACAAATTTTGGCTGTATAGAGGTCACATGAAAAAAACGAGTAAACCACCTAAAAAACGTTTAATCGCGTTGAGTTGAAGAAAGAAGCATTTCTGTGTTTCATCATGTCAAGTACTTTACCAGTGTCTGCAATCAACTCAAGACACGCGCAGGAGTACAGGGGAATAAAGCATTATCTGCTTTGTTAGTTACCGCGCTGTTTTCTAATATACTACTGAGGTAGATTTGATGCTAATCAAATCAACGCTGTTGAAAGTGGTCCAGTGCCTGTGGCGAGGTAATCCCATCGAACTGAAGTCACTCGATGTCCGGTCGTCGGACGCTGAAACTTGTTGTTCTCATCAACTCCCTTAAAGGCACATAAATTCCACTCATTTCAACGGAATTGTGTCTGAATATAGCGTCATTGCGTGTAAACTGTTCACAATATCTTTGTATGTAGTTGAAATCAGTCATGGTAGCTCTGACGATCGCTTAGCGTGGTGAAAGGCCAAAGGTGTGATGACCACTACTCCCAAACGAGGTTGACAGCAGTGGTTTTCGAATAAAACTCTCGTACAAAATGTAGCACACATGCAAATTTGCAACGTCACTGACTGTGGTAAAACAACCACTTTGTACTTGTATATAAATCAATAGCAATTACAAGATTTGTTTAAATCTGTCGGCGACATCTAAAAGCAGCAAGTTTAGGAGCATTTTCTCCCGGTTCGCTGCCCTATTAAAGTTTATAAAAGTATAAATGTGCCATAGTAATTTAATGCGTTTAACTGGCTTCAAATCTCCTTTTTTCTTATTGGCTAGTTATAGTTATTAACTCACGATAACGCCCTAGCCCATTCTGTTGATGCACGGCGCACACGCACTACCTGAGTGCGCGCGCGCCGTTTCAGAGGTTCCTCTGCAGTTACTGGGGCGCGTGCGTGCACACCATTACGCAACCAATTACGAAGCTGGGCTCCACGCATTGGCTGTCGGTGAGGTGACTCAGTTTCAATTGCTTAAACTTGCCACACTCAAGACACCCACACGCACAAAAGCACACGCACACACTCACACACACACGCGCGCTGATTTAACATCAAGGAAGCCTGTACTCTTCAGCCGTTTCACATTCTTTTGAGGCTGATCATTCACCCCTTCAAATTGCCTCCATTTTCGGTTCGACAACCGGGCAGCATGACGTTCATTTTCCTTCTTGTCTACCTTGGACTTTCCCACATCTGCACAACTGGTGCTCAGATGGTGCAGCATGGACGCTGTTACAAAAGTTCATCGGTGCTCATTTGCAAAAACAGTATGCCGACTGTGGATGATTTGCAATTTCAGGATATTCAGACGGTCATAATGACCCACCTGTCTGAAGGAACCTGGTTGTATTTGAATGATTCAAATCCTACGACAACAGGAATTCAAAAAGTTGAAGTCCAAAGCTCCGACATCTTCCGAGTCGAGCCTGGCTACTTTGCCAAGATTAGTGGCACAAATAAGCTGAAAAGGTTGATGCTTCGAAACGTCAAGGGTTCAGTTGTGGTCGACAAGAGCATGCTGCAGGGATTGGCCAAGTCGTTGAACTACCTCGTCGTGGTAAACAGTCTCAGTGTAAAAGTCGCCGATTTGGCTGAACTAGAGGTTCTCACGGATTTGGAGCTTTCAAGCACAAATGTGATCGGAACGCCAGCAGATTTCGAGAAGCTGCTGCCTCGACTTCGGTCGCTGGACATTAAAAACTGCAACTTGAACCAGCTACCCTGGGAGGCTATTGTCAAGTGGATCACTGAAAACGACTCCAGACGTCTCAAGATAAATGGCAACAGTTGGATTTGCGACTGTTCCATTGCTGCGCTCAAGCGTCTTCAGCCTGGCATTGTAGGAAGGTGAGTTTTGTCTGTTTTGGATGAAAATTTTGTCTAGCAAGCATTCAGATTTGAACTTTCAGTGAGAAGTTTGTTATTTTACAATAATGTACCCTACTTTTCAAATTTAATGCTACCTTCCTCAGCGAAAAAAATTATTTTGCATGGTTACTGTAGCAACGATGAACCAATAAACATGCCAAACTTTGAATGAATAGTTAGGAGAATAGTTAACCTCTACCGTTTAAAAAAAAAATTCTTTTTAATCATTCATCTGACTACCACACGAAATCTTTCCTTTAACCTATATTAAAATGTGTGACTTGTAAATGTTAATTTAGATGGTACAGATAGGAACTAATTATGAACAATGCCCAGTAACCTGATATGTCCGAATTTCATAATGTGGATTAAAAATCAGTCAATTTTGTTCACACAATCGATAAAAAAAACAGATTTTTGTGATGGACTCCTCACTGTTGCATGTCTTAACGATTTTAAGCCCCCGCGCGTTTATCAGCCAATCAAAAGGTAAAGATTTCCTTGAGAGATTTTACGTAGTTGTTTTTATTCCCCTTTTAAAAGCCGCCACTATGAATTATGCCCTCAGTGAAACAACTCCAGCTTCCATTACAGGGGAAGTCATCAAATAATCAGCAAAATATTTATGTGAATATAAGTTGAGCTGTTTCAGTAAAAGACATGCCTTTCGATTGATTTCCCAAGTTTTCACTTCAACCAAACAGCTGCTTAAACTTCAGCTGTTTACATGAGTATTATTTTCGTGAAAAAAATCATTTTAACGTCTTGGAAAGACCTCATAGCTGTGGCACTTGGACCACCGCGGCACGAGCACACTTGCAAGAATCGGGTGTTAAATTGCAATCAAAATAAAATGTGCACCCCCAAAACACCCAATCGGTGCATTCAGAATCGATAATTATTGACTTATTTGGCGACAGAGCAGAGCGTCCAGTCTGTTTCGTACTTAGACTCTGGTTCCGATCATTGTCACCTCCTTAAGTGCCTTGTGGTAGACTCTGTGTACTGCCATGAATACTTGGGGTCAGTTGATAATTCAACTTCTGAAATCCCATTCGATAAACGAGCGTTTCGGCTGTCGTGTTATTTGCGAATTTCAACCTGGCGCGGCTGCAGTTTATCCATCCCTGTTTCCTCACTTTTATTCCGATTTCCCGAATCACCCTCAACTGGTCCTCACACAGAGTTTTGGATTTCCAATTTATAAGAAAAAACGGACGAGCTAATTTGAGCTTTGCTGAGAAGACGTCCTAAGTGCATGCATGCCAAAATTCGTGTTCTAAGGCATCAACACATGTTATTTTCACATCCAATTAACGGAAGTCGCATTTACCCAATTGCTACAACTGTTTTATCACTTTAACCCTAATTATTGCATTTTGAAGAATAGGTTTGCACACAGCACTAGCCAATTCGTCAAATTCTAAGCACTCTACCAATAATGCTAAGCTGATTCAACCTTTAGTTCAAATTTCTCATAGTGCTCCACACTATGAAGCCCCAAAAACGCATGGTGTGGAGCCGCACTAATCTACTTCATTGGTAGTTCACAAAAGACCGCCAATCAGCATATTCCGATGCACTTTTAGCACTTGAGCTTACAACGCAAGCAGTCAGGGCGTCGGTGCTTACCTCTACTTACGAGTTCTTGTAAACGTGTCGTCTCACTGTGTCCTGTATGTCCCATAAGGTCACCATCTCGTTTTCGCATTCTCGAGTGCGCGCATTCGAAGTGTTTGCACGACCTTGTGGTGAAATTTCTGATGGTGGCCTAGAAAACGTGCGTCAGTGTACACTAACTAAGAGTTAAAATCTCAACTGTCGTAAACACATAATACTTATGTGTTTTAGACCAGTAAGACGGTAATCTGGTCTTACTGTGACCTCACTGGAAAAAGAAAAAAAAGCATTTTTGAAAAGATCGGCAGTCTTTGTCCTAAAAATGAGTGTGCCAAAATGCTTCGATGTGTGACACCGCTTCCCTCGATTGCCCTTGGCAACACTTTGTCGGCATGCCACTTAATACACGACCGTTTAAACTCAACATTCCTCTTGGATGAAGATGATCGTCGTAGATGTTTCCACTGTCTGCAATAACTGTGTTTGCAATGCCACAGAAACCACTTGCTTTTGTTTGTGATTGTATACAGCTTAACGCAACCACTAAAGTAAATGTAGGACGGTTATTTGTTGCTTCGGCCTTGATACCACGTCGCAAGTCTTTTCGTTAAACTGCTCATTCTCGCTTTATTCGTAAAAGTGGTTTGTCGCATTGTCCACTGCAGGGCAAGTTATGCACCACCTCTCACAGGACCTAAGCTTACGCAATGATTTGGGCGTCGACCACGTCATATTTGGGCGTGTTGTGTACGCCCACAGCCTAGGATTTTACTCTCACGAAGGACATTGCAGGGGTTTGGTGAATTTCGCTGGTCTACAGGCTTAGCTGCTTGTGTCACGCCCACTGTTTACGCTCTAGAGTGAAAGGAACTTGCAGCCTTGTCAACAGGAGTTGTCAATTTCGCTCATTGTCAGATTGTTTTTCACTTAAGCGAAGATGAGGCAGAGAAAGTAACCACAACCGCACGTTAGCGCGCTTGGGTGTGGTTGCAGTGGTGGCAAAAAAGAGGTGTTTGATGCCGCGCCGACGCGCCACCTGACCAGAGGCTTCGACTCCCTTCAAAAACATTCCGTTTTCAGTTAAAATCAAACATGCATTTGCATTTGGAGTAAGGGAGACAACTTTGACGAAAAATAATGTCCCCCAGCCAACACATAAGAAAAGCGTGGTGGCAGATTTTCGTGCCTCAACGTGCACTACTAGCCACGGGCGTTAGACTCTGGGGTATTGAATTTAGTTCACAAGGCACGGTGCTGGACTTTTAGCTCATGTCAGCGACCTCTGCCAATCTCCACACCAGCAACACTGAATAAAAAGAGTGCAAATTTGCTGCGTCTTAGTCCATGTCCCGTTTTGCCGGTGCATCCGTCTTTGAAAGCTTTACATCTCGGTAGTTGTTTGCTAAAATTTGATGGTACCTTGACGTGTAATGGCTTTCCATTCGGACTCCTGTTAAATTAACAGGAAACAAAAGTCAAAAATTCCGTGGCAGTGTGCTCGATGTTAAGGCGTTGCCACCTTGTATTGGCACGTAATGAACTTTTAAACAACATTCGTACAAGGTGCAACCCTCTTAAGATTATGCCGACCAATCCACTTTCTTTTTAACGCCTATCGATGATACTTTCATTGTGAAATGTGAATATACGTAAGTACCGACCTCGGTCTTTCTCCAATGGGGGTCAACCGAAAAATAATAAAACATCGTGACTTGTCCCCACAGCTCACCGAGGTCACTGGTCATTGACTCTTCATTTTAATTGCAGAAGGTTCGGTTCTTCAAATTAGATATGACATGTGATGATGAAGCTGGCACTTAATTTTAACATGCCAAAAATTCTAGGCTGTTTTGATGGATTCGATGCTTGGCGTAGCTTAGTGCGTCATAACTATTGTGTTTAATATGAATCATTCGAAAATCGAAATTCCCGGTTTTATATTGAAATAGGCATGTAGTTTGGTTTGTTTGTGTGCATTGTATGATCGAAATTTTATGGTATCGCCCATCTGCGAGCCATTGTGGGGTTTTTCGGCTCCAGAGAGATTACTAATTTTCTGCAAATCTGTTATTTACACGAGTCCAAACGAAATTTACCGTGAAGTTGTCGTGTTCATATAAGGTCAGTATCGGAAAATCAGATTTGAATGATATTTTGTAACCCTCGTTTTGAGTACTGACTTCATCTGTTCTTTGAATATTTTTAAAACAATTAAGAGCCTATTTACCTGAAAATATTTTTTTTCTCCGACTTTAACACGTGCACTTTCAATAGTCATCGAGGTGATGAGACTGTTGAGTCAGACGTCTAATCGGCTCCGCTGACGTGTTTGTTAGTCACAGTGAGCCACAACTAGGGTCATGCCAGTCCTGTGGCGCACACGCTTCAACCATGTGGCAAGAAGGCCTGCATGTGAATACACCTTCATTCATGCTCTCAGTAACTGACATGCCTGCAAATCGGTGCGTCAAGCAGCATATTCAATCATACACAAATTCGCCAACTGTGTGACCCATCAATGTTTGTACTGACACACTTGCCTCTGTGAGGTCACGATTACCATGCCTGTTTAATCATTGTAGCAACCTGCAAAAGTTGACGTGCGGAAGTCCTCCCAACCTCGCAGGCAGGCTGTTGTCAGACATCACCGAGGAGGAGCTGTGTCCGGTGGCACCGCCGTCCAAGAACGACTCCGCGGGGGGGTCACTTCAGCCCTCGGGGAACGGCAGCGGCAGTGAAGATGGAGCCGGGAACGCCATTAACCCGTCAATGGGCAATAAGGGAGAGGTTGCGGATGTTAAGAGCAGCGGCGTCCGAACAGAGGTTATCATCGCGGGCACCGTCGTTGGGGCCTTGGTTCTGATATTCGTCGTTTTCATCATCGTCTACAAGTGCCGGCTGTACCCTAAGAAAAAGAATCGAGAGGAGAGGACAAGCAAGACACACCAGAACAAACGATATGTGTATGTGATAGCTGATAGCATATCGGTCTGATTATGTCCCACTGGTGGCTGGTCGATTTGTCTTTCCCTTGGCCGGAACTGGTTCTTGTGAATCAACCATTTATCCAAGTGCCACCTTTTTAAGGAACTTTCAGCGAAAAATGTTGGGATGTAATTAATTGAATGAAATCAATCGCACCATTTGCACCTCTCACAGACCACAAGAAGACATTCCAACCGGAACACGATCACTGAAAGGAAAGTTTTATACGTTTGGGAAATTGTATTAACGGCAGGTTTACGTGTTCTGGGGACAATCTATGAGTGGAATACATTTTACAGATCTTCTTCTGAATACACTCTTAGAGCAATTGCGCAAATATGACGATATTTTGCAGATTTTCAGAACGAGGGCTTCTTAAATCGTTTTTTAATGCATCATTGCAGGAATGTGATTGAAGAGCCCCCGCTACAGCAGTTTGCTACCAATAATCGGGCTCCGGAAAAGGGAAAACTCGTTGAAGGCTCTCAGGTGTAGGCCCCTTTCGGGAACGACGAATGACATTGCCTGACAGACACTGACGACAAACAATCCAACCTGCCGAACCCCCCCCTTCCAAAGTTGCTGATCCGACAGCCCGACTTCCGACCCCCTAGATCTACATTACCTCTGTACAGATATCACTGCTCTGGTCCCGCCACTTAGCAGATCTTACTGTGTGCGAACGTGTGTGTGCGTTTCCAGCCGCCCCCCAGCCCCCCCATCCATCAGTACTTGTATTTATACCGACGAGACTCGAAATCCGGATTTTGCGCACACGATAATAGCTTTCTTTTTTGCCTATCTCCATCCCGCTGCCTGTTTTGTTTTGTTTGTCATGTTAAAAGAGTCGCGTATGACTGATTAGGATAAAAAAAAAGGGAAATAAAGAATTGGATTTTGTTCTGATTTAACATTTTAAAGGGATTCGCCTTCATAGTGGCTGTGTATAAATGCGTAAGTGACACCCATACTGGCTTAGGTGGCTAAAATGCCTTGCTGTAGACGCTGACAAAACGATCCCCCACGTCCAAGGCAAGTGGGCGATAAAACCGGGCTAATTTATTTGCCAGAATTTAACTCTCAGATAGTGGGATTGTTTGTTTTGAAAGTAGCGTCTTTGCATGTCGATGTTTTCAGCCTATGGAACTTGGACACCGAGATGCCACAGTCAGCCGAATTGGTTATTTCTTACTCCTGAGTAACCAGGAGTCGAAGTCCATACATACTTCTTAGTGCACACATTACTAATATTGCATGACAACCCTATCTGAATTGGTGTAATTAACTAACCCCGTGGATGAAATGCACTGGAGTTATGGCATTCAGATGACACTGCCTCTCGCTCATGAGTTCTGTTCCGTCGACGTTCGACCAATGAGTGTTGCAGTTGACTTATGACCTTGTGCATCCAAAATCACTAAGATCTTCGTGTTGCATACACTCACCCCTCGCTATGTAAAGTCATTTGTCTGAATTTACAAAAAAGTGGACTCTTTTGGTCAGGAAACTTACAATTTGCAAAAGTTCATAGTTTGTGACCAACGACAAGGCAGCATCCCGCCTCAATTATATGAGATCAGAGCTTAGCCGAATTAGTCGATGTTGTCTTTTGAAATAAGTGAGTTACAAATACAGTTTAAACCAATTAGTTCAACCAGTATAGTTCTTTATACGGCATAAAACTTCTGCTCACATTCACAGTAATTACATGCTTTGGATGTCACTAACTGGTATTTGGAGTCAGATGTTAAATGTGCAGACGAGGTCTTCAATTTGGTGTCAGATCAAGGTCGGATCACATTTTCGAGGCAACCTTCACTAGTTAAAAGATCAAAATCTCGATTTTGTCTGTAATCTTTCAATCATAGTGCGCCATCTTTAAAAGTAGGCCAATGATCTAACCGACAAAAATCGACTCTTCCCAGTTATTTGATACGCTTAAATGACACAGGTTAACGGTTCAATGGCACAATTAAACGTGAAAAAGGCTTAATGGCTATTAACACAGGCAAAATTGAAAAGGCCTGTTTTTGAAGATAACAAAAATACATTTAACCATCGCGAACCTCATGGATTTATCAAACTTAGGGCAAGCAATTCGCTTACCAAATTGATCGATTTGGCTAATGACCGTACACTTCTCAATTTGCTTGCAAAATGTCAAAATCAGCTACAACAAATCAGAAAAATGTAAATAAATTAGGAAGCAGAAATCAAATTTTCTTGGTACCCAAAGTCAGAAAAAAAGAAAGGCGTTTGTTCAGTTCACTAGTTATTTTTAAGGACGTGTTTTTTAGTCGCTGGAGGGATTATAATCAGAATTTACAGGGACACTAAAAACGATCAATGTCTGTTACCTTTTGCTGCAATCAGGGTGCTTCAAAACGACTCATTTTTAACATAAACCAAATCTTGATTATTCTGTCTTTTCGATAAATGCATTCATTTTTTCCAGGAAATATACACCTTCTATGGCATTCTAAAATGATCGTGTTTTATCACCCAATATTACCTACTCTTTAACTGACAGAGGACATTCAAACATTTGATTTTAAAATGATTAAAAGCAAATTGAAGATTATATCTACAGAATTTGAATCAGGTCTAAATTATCACAATTTACTCGATGTTGATATGTTGAAAACGCTGACCAATATATATATATATATATCAGATCTAAAATATATCCCTGTGAGGAAGCCTGATCATTTTTTGCCTTTATCACTCGAACAACCATGATTTAAAAGTCGAATCTAGCAACAGATTGCCGCAAAATCTGCGTTGGCTGCTTAGAACTGTACGCATTAATAATAAAAATTTTAAAATCGTCCGGGCAATGATTACCGACCACTGGCACTATGACTAATCACGTGCTTGGCCATTCGATGATGCATCCAAACTACGCGCTATTTCGTCCAATCAACGAGGTGTCCAAGTTAATGATAGCAATTAAGGGTTATAAAAAGTGTGATAGTAGGATATTAGAACCATAGCGGACTTCTGTGCCATGTAAGTAAGGTGTTCCACCACATGACAGACCCCTTTGCCGAACTATTAATTATGATACCTTTTTCCACGCCCTAAGAAGTTGTAGTTGGAAATAGGAGACGGTTCACGGTGAGATAAACAGAAATGAATGAATTTAGCGAATATTATTGAAAAATGGAATAGTTAAGATAAGGGGTACCAGGAAATCCTGCAAACAACATTAAGTTCCATGTTTACTGGTTCAATTTGACGCGAGTTGACTTTATCGAAGGTTAAAATGTATTGTCCGCCTTTGTAATTGTCAGTACAAAATGGATTCTCGTGATAAACATGTCACAGAATACAGTGTTAGATGAAACTGGTTTAACTCACAAAACCCTAAATCCAATCAAGATTTTTCAGCTAATTGGGAGCTGAAAAACGGAGGAGAGAGCATCACTTGGCTGCTGATTTCTGTGCACATATTTAGTAAGGCTTATAACAAAATCGAAGCCTAAGAGAATCATCGAGAAAGTAACTTCGATTTCAAAAACACCAAACAGAAGGACAATAATGAAAGAATGTCGGTCGATTTGAATCGACGGCACAGATGCGCTGGAACATTTAGAGATCTAAAGTTGCTTTTTGTTTTTTCTATGCATCTGATTTCGCTGTTTTTATTATTCGAAGACATTCGAAACTAAACAGCTTTAATCAGGATCATACGAACAGAGTTAATAATTTTAAATGTTTAATCTCGAGGTACTAGGAGTTGACGTATTTTTGCATTAAACACAAGTTTAAAGAAACATGTTAGGCTAGTTTGTTGTCATATTTGTTTCGAGCAGAGTGCACCGCAAAAAATGTTAGGCGAGGTTTGCAACAATTGCTGACCATGTCGAGATTCATTACGAGGCCCAGTAAATTTTGGTTGGACGTACAATTTGAAACTCTCTTCATGCACAACAACATTTACCATTAACTAATGTGCCCCTCGTTTCTTCCTACAACTGTCTAGCAACGTTGTACTAATTTTTAACGTCATTCTTAGCCGAAAAAAGTGTGAGTTGTTTTCCACAGAACGTCACTAGGCAGTTTTTAACTTTTTCCTCGAATCAATTTTCGCTACTCAAATTATTTTGCTGAGAACGAGACATGGAGCGAAAAGGTCAGGAGAATCTGACGTGGGCTGCTGGAGACTTTCCTACATAACACTATGTTTTTCAGTGGCATGTGGTCTTTAGTTGTCAGGGTGACGTCTGATAGCTTTTCGATTGGCAAAATTTAGACGCTTAACTCGAGTTCCAACAGTGATTTAAGTGAGCTTGTAGTGGAGAAGCGTGTTTTTTTTACGAGTTCATCGAATATCATCGATTGCCGACTACAGTTGGCGTTCGATATTCACGCCCGTGCTCTGCTATAAAAGACGTGGGTAGTCCAATGTAAATAAAAAGCGCGATATTCGCTATCGCCTGTCTTGTCTTACCTCTCGGGCTGTTATGGACGGTCAACCATCCGGGTTGTGTGGTAGTGCCAACGAAGCCGCTACAATACGTCCCATCCAAATATATTTACTGGTTGTGGAAATGTTTTCCAGTTTGTCAAAATGTGTGACACCTGTGCAATGTGATTTAAATGGCAATCTGTTAGATGGTAATGATTATATTTAACTTCACAAAATCAAGGATAAAGTTATGAGCAGTGTCCGACTAAACCACTGTCGCAGTTGCAACATGCACTCCAAAGACATTTAACGCTCCATTTTCCGTTGTGAATTTGGACCCTACTCAACAAGTTATTTAAAAAAATATATATTTTTTAGAGATTTTTTTTACTCAGGGCGCAATACAAATCGGGCAAGAACTTCTAAGTCATAGAATGATACCAAAATTACGAAGCGAGCCTCGTAAATGAGTACGTTGACAAATCCTATTACTTTTACTACCATCTGGTTTGACCAACTTTGAAGGTTTACGTATAACTGGGTCAAAAAAATCGGAGGTAGTTTTTGTGTGTCGTTGTTTTAGTGCACTGACCACAAAGCGGAACATGCTGGTATTTATCCTGACCCCACAAAACTCGTTGCGATCTGCGACGTTTACGCCACCCTCAACACTAGCCCTCCATGTACCGATGTGTTCTCGCCATACTTTGAACTGGCTACACTGTTGTGGACTTGGCAGGCTGACGGTGGGCGTAATCTGTGCAACTGACCGGTTTTAAAATTGGATGTGAAAGTTACGTCGTGTTTTCGGACAAATTTTGTCGTCAACGTCATTCGAAGGTAGTTTGTCTGGATCAGGCGAATTTCGAGAAAATGTTGTTGGCTGGTTGGGCAGGGAATAGATACCGTTCCTAATTTATCCAAAATTCCCCATTTGTAAATCAAACGGTAAAACCACTCTGGAGGTGCGACAAGAGAGCTACTTAAATTCGTAGGCAAATTTAAAACTATACTGTAAGGTAATTAAATGCTTGATCTTAACGTTCGTACACGAGAAAGACACAGGCGCCAATCGTCCAATATTTCACCTCAAAGCGGGCATTGTAGAAATCGTTTGAATAAATTATGCACAAACACAGGGATGGATCACTCCTGGCTGCCGTTTGGATCACGTTCATAACTGCGCTCAAATTGTGCACACAATTCCATTGAAGTTTTTGCGAAACACGAAATTTCAGCCGCTCCTAAGCCGAGAAAGGCACTTCGTACGACTTAACTTCCAGGCAATGTTGTGTCAAACAAACTGTTCAATTGCTTCAAAAGGGGTTATACCAAACTGAGAAGAGATGTGTTTTAGTCAAATCATGTTTTTTGAGGGGTTTCACAGGACCGCAATAGTTGCAAGCAGTCAAATCACATCACAGGTCTGTAGCGGATTGACAGCGATAGCGCCTGAGTGAGCCCTGGTTACCGACATTGCATCAAATCACTCTAGCCACTACAGGCCAACGCGATCTCAGCTCATGGAGACAAAACCATCGGCTTACTTCATAAAGCATGAATTATAGCCGGCGTATTTTTTTTAAAGCGAGGCCATGCGTATCGAAATCGAAGTGTTCAGGAGTAAAAGTCATGGGTTCAAGTTCCAATCGGCATGTACAGATTCTGGGTTGGTCACGAACGCCGGATAACGACGCAAATCGCATAGCGGACAGCATGCGCGCACACCAAGTATCAAAAGGTCCAAAATGTAATCTGAAGGTTCCATTTTAGAGTGAAAACCACAACCCCAAGTTTTTTTTGGCTCGGAAAAAAGGACCAGTGAAATTGCTGGGCTGTGTTGATGACTGTGCTGAATGGACAAATTTGCCTTACTACGAATGTTCGATGATGGGCATTGTGAAAATGAACTGGAGTGGTGTTTGACGTCTTGACGCACACGATCAACTGGAGAAACCTCCAGGATCTTCCATTAGAATCCAGAATTGTAGAGCCAAATTAGCATAACACAGTGTGACTGGAAAATGAATTCGAAGACAACTAAAGTAAATTTCTGGTTTAAAGATCTCGCCAAAGTCCCTCAAAACCAGTCTTCTTGCCCCTAGAACTAGAACTGACGAAAACATACGTATGCCTTAGAATCGGCATTACTTATTTCTAGTACCATTTGGACAAACCGAGTGAGGGGTCAACGATGCCAGACAGTTTTACGCAAAAACCAGTTTTGATTTAAAGCGTCCCCTTTTCGGTGTCTTCGTTAATTTCTTGTGGCTAGAGAAATCAGCCGGTATGTCCTCACATTTTTGTAGAATGGCTTTAAACACGCAATTTGAGCAACAGCCACGTGGCTGATAGTGCCATTGAGTAACTGAGTTTGATTCCACTTTACCCAAAGCATCCAGTCAATGTACCTATTTCAATAACTCAAGCTATCAGTTCATAAATTAAACAAACACATTTTTTTCAAATTTTCTTCTGTTTAAACCCATACTACCTAATCAAGCAAATTTCACCAATTTTCCGCCATTTTAGGCATGAAAAGTGGCACCATCTCAAATGAACACGAAGTTTACGAAAGTAAACTCAGGTGTTATTGATGCCATAGCAACTGACAACAATAGGATAGGAAGCATATCACAGATTGAGAAGGCGGATAGTGATAAAGTAGCAGAATAGGATTCATGTTTGCACACGTATATACAGGCCGGCACAACTGAGCAAGGAGTGGAAGGAATGTAAGACCTAGCGAATGACTGACGAAAGACGCGGCGTCGAACGAGCTTGAAAAGCACCTTGTGGAGTCATCGGTTGCCGTTCAACTTGTTCAAGAGCTCATCCAACTAAAAAGAAGGGAAAATAGGGACGCGTAATGTTCTCATTGTCGATGCACCCAGATTGCGCCGATCTTGGCAGCATAATATCAGGATTTTCACATCGGCAAGTTGTTTTTTTTACGATGGCACCACCCAGCAGGGGGTTTTGGGCAGACAGAACAGATGCCAACTTTTTTTTCTCAGTAGTGCATTTAGATTCTTTGGGAAAACAACACACGGTCCTCTGTGTGTTGCTTTCAAGTGAAAGGTAGGATCCCGAGGATCAAAGTCAGAGTGCAGGCACTACATCTAATAAACCCGTTAATCATGTTCATGCATGATTGGGAAGAACACACGTAAAAGCATACGCTTCGTGGCAAGCGTTTTTATCGTTCACAGGGTGTCGTCAAATATTCATAAATACCCGGACTTGTTGAGCAACTATTCCTAATAAGTGATGTGTCTTAGAGGACACGAGGCAGACAAGGAAGGTGCAGTTAGAGTGCCCTTACCTGACTCTTGTAGGCTTCTTTAGATTCAATGAGATCGAGTTTCAATTCGTTGTTCTCCTCCAGTTTCTTACCATACAATTGGAGCAGGACATCGTAGCGCTTCTGAAGATCGCCTTCACCATCGATTGGGTCGCCTTGGTGTTCCACTGAGCCCGCCAGACGCGCGTACTGTTCCGCTTTTGCCGTCTGTTCGGATAAATCCGACAACAAGCGTTCGTGGGTCTCGTTTAAACGCGCAATCTCCCGCTTCAACTGGCCCACCTCACCCTCTCGTTGTCGAAGGGTGCTCTTGAAAGGCAACGTGACAACACAAAACCAATAGTTTTTTTATGGGAGAAACAGACCGTCTCAGAATACTTGGTCCTCAAAAATTGCTCAAGGGCTGTTAAAGGTCACTGACCTAGCCAAGAACTGAAACCTATCAACCACACCACGGAGATCTACAGATCTACACCAGTTGAGTAGACAGCGTATCTCATTCTCAAAGCATCGGTCATCCGTGTTCGTTTTAAAACAAGTGTTTTAAAGTTTGTAAGTAAAATATGTTGCGTCATTGCAAAGCTGACCCTGCATGGGCAGGAAGACTATCTAGGTTATGAAGCAACCAATGAGGAATCAATCAATATGAGAAAAAGAGCCAAACACGGGAACACCAACTACCTCACCAAGGCATACTTCAGGAGATTATAATTGACCAAATCCGATTACCTGCAGTTAGAGGGAGAACAGAAATGTCGGTAATTTGACAGGCCAATATTATGCACCCCAGGTAGCAAAGTTACGTAGAAGTGAAAGCGAGCAAATTGCACAAATTCTGTAAATGCTTAAGGACCTGCGAGAAGTGGCAAGTCACGATTTCCATTTTCGCGCACAGATAACTAGCTTTTATACTCGGTGTAGGCATGCTGTCACAAAAAAGCGTATAAGACCAGGAAACGGGTTGTGGTTGCTATGGCAATCATAAATTATTTAGCCCTATTATTTCCTTTGGCGTGTGCGCCTTCCCAAGCATTAAATCGTGGTAGACGCTCGGTAGGCAGTCTATGCGCTCCCAAACCGGTTTAATAAAATCATGTGAATAACTGAAAGCATTGCGCAAAGCGACCTTCAACTTCTGACGCGCATCGTAATTAGTTAAAGTGGATCAGATCGGCGACTAGAGAGCTCACTTCCGCTGAAAACACCTAGGGTCTGGGAGCAAATAAGGTGTATTGATCTCACCTGCAACCAAACATACCGAGACATCTTTGAAATTTCCCAAAAAAAAAGTGGCAATTTTGGTATTTCGTGCACTGTTTAAATACAAACTTGGCTTAGGGTTTAAGTGGCAGGCGAGCGAAGGTGGTATAGACGTCTGAATACGAGAGAATGGACAAAGACATAGTCATGAAGCAATTGGCAAAACTAATAACCATCTACAGTAAATGAATAGGCATTAATTTAACTTGAGAAGGAAGCTGACGCAATATGATGCCGAGGTAATAGCAGAGAAATAGAAACGGTTCAACTAGGCTTATTCACGTAGAACAGCCTATACACGTGAGACGAAACGAGTAAACCATGCGTGTGACTGAAAGCTCAACAGATCGCATTTCAGACTACGGAATCCCGGTTTAAGTCTATTACTAAAGGGATTGATAAAAACCTAGTTTCAGTCTCGTCGGGATAGATCCAGATTCTGAAGGAATGGCAAATTGATGGGTCAAAAGGCGAATATAAGTTGAGAATACGAAAACATTAGGTCTGTAGCCACAAACTAACTAGGCCCACACTCGCATACACTTCGTTATCGACGACCCCAATCTAGCGAATAAACGGAAGAGAGTAAGGACGATGGGCATTGACGTTTACTGAACAAAGAATACCTGGGAGGGTTTAGATAGGTTAGAAGCTGGGAAAGTAGTTTGCGGGAGTTTGTGGTACAGGTCAAAACCCTGAACGTCTGGAGACTTCTAATAATCCATGTGTGCCTGCTCAGCTGTCCCCTTTAATCAGCGGGACCATTGTTTCTGAGGGTACGGCTGAGGCTGTACAAATCCCCTGTGTATGTCGAATACACGGACACAACCAACGTCTAACTAACAGTTCAATGGAATTGTGGCTGTGTAGCGAGATTTCTGATGCCACACCTAGGTTTCAAAAAGCTAAGGACGGATGACGCCGTTTATCAGTCGACAGGCATCAGGAAAACGCCTCTACATGAGCTAATATATGTGTGCAGAAAGTAACCAAGCACAGCTAGTGAACAACTGCGAAATTGCGAAAATTAGGACTCCCATTTCTTTCTGCACCAAGGTACATGTGATAGCAGGTATATCCACGGTTTTAGCGTTTCAGTTTACGAGGGAGAATCATCTTTCGTATGCGGGAGATGACATTCCAGCCTCGCCTGGCCACATGCATACACGTGTTCGAAGCCAAATGCCAAATCGGAAGTTTGGATTCATCAGCTCAAATAGCGCTGCAGCCACCTACAGCCAGGTGTGCTTTTGGATAAGGAAGCAATTACGTGAGTTGGTACTTACGACCACAGACCGCAGTTCCCACAACTCAAAAAACTGACACGAGACTCACAGCAGGGATCGATCAAACTGAAAGAATAAAGTAAAGTGTAACAGCCCCTTCGGTGGTGTTCAACTGTTTGCTGACGGGCGGTTCAGGTTGGGGTTTACAAAACAACTGAGTCCAAGCCTTTTGGCTCAGTAGAGACAAATGAAGAACAGCAAAAAGGAAGCACAGTTATTTGTGTCGCCAAAACATCATTTGTATGCACACATCAGAGCATCTTTTGAGCGCCGAACTGCCTGTGCGCCCTTCCTTTGTCCAGTCGTGAGTGGATTCTGAAAAATCGCACCAAGCAAACACACAACCTGACAAATATTTTTTTTTCCTGTTCTTAAATATTCAGTCACTGAGATTGTTAAACTGACAATACAAGTCCCCTGAGAGCTGCTTTACTTGACTCCGGCGAAACCGCAAACATCCACAAGGGGGGGAACAAACGAGGCACTCGCCATCAGCCAAATTTGACTTATGCGGTTGAGTGCGCAATGTGAGATGGGTCGTAGGCCTTTCCATCTCCACATGATGCGTGATATAACGTGAGAATAAACGCGCCTTGATGATGGTGATGATGATGCGTAGCTGTGGTCACGAAGAAGGCACCTCGCACAAACATGTGAAGACCTAACGCATCACACGTCTGAATGGTCGGCAATGGTAAAGAGTTGGGGGGGGGGAGGGACATGCAATGAATTCGAGAAATACAGGTAGCTCACTGTGAAAGCATTTGGATAGAGAATGGCTTGAGAAGTGGTTATAGCAAAGACCCGAGTTCGATACAAGACCGTGATGAGGTCGCGAGGTTAGTAACTGACACCATGTAATTCGGATCCCGACGAATTACACAATTGTAGATAAGTGATATCCTGCCGGCTATGTCGTTCACGGTCCCAAACGAAAAGGTCAGCGGTAAGGCTGATTTGTAGCAGGACCTATCAAGAGGGATCCTCTTACACACTGAGCATCCAAGGGGCCCAAAATTCAGGAAGTACTGAAGGCGTTCTGTTTGGCTGGAAGATTGCGGGACTTTAAGAACCACCGATTCAGTAAAGGCAAGGTCTGGTAACAGGAAGAGCGCCTCAAAAACGCGACTTCTGGAGAGAGTTTGTGCACCCATAATGGTTCACCAATGTAGGTCACCGGTATCGGACTTGAAAGTACAGGACAGAGAACACACACACTGGATACTGTGAGGGCAGTGGTGGGAAAAGGCAATAAGGTGCATTAGAGCAAGTGCGTTTGAGCTTATTAAGGAGTTTAGACAGGCAGCGTTTATTTCAGCATTTCGCAAAGAAGACATAGTTAAGTAAACATCGAAAAGCGTTTCTAAAGGAAGTTTAAACGCCCACTAGACACCGCATTCAAAAGACTCCATTTTCTACTTCGACGACAATTCAAGAACCAAAAGCATCTGCGAACTGCGGTGCTGCAGCGGTAACAGCAAAACCATTGAATGACTGTCGGTGCGTGGTTGAAGCAGCCTCTAAGGAACGGCTCATTCTGTTAGGGTAGCTTAGAAGCGGCTTGAGATGGATGAAATCACTCGTAACCTACTCTCCAATAGTTTAGTGCGGAAATTTTCGATGACACGGTGAAATCTCGCTTATATTCAATTACGAGGTGGCTCGAAGCACGATGATAATGCCACAGGGCAGCTTTTTCGAAACAAACGCATTACAAAGACAACGAGTTGACTAAACTGCTGCAGCCGAAAAATTTCGCCCACAGAATTGGCGAGCACAGTGATGCGAAAAGAGGGTGGCTGGGCAAATAAAGCAACGCATAAATGAAGAGAGAGGGTGTCTTCGATAGATTTACCTATCCTCAAAGCTTCCTGAGGAAACAGAAACAAATGCTAGGGAAAATCCGAACCACCACGAGTTGCAGCTAAGTCCAAGAGGCAGATTTCATTGGAAAGGAAACAAGGGTAACCACAGTTACTTCTCAGCTAAAGAATGCGTCGACTTAGCTGAGCCCACACACGCTGATAGAACTAAAACCAGAATATACCGCATGTGCCCCTTCTGACTCGCATACAGATACCAGTTTTGTCAGGAATGCTGTAAAAGAAAACGGTTAGGTCGATACCCCACAAACACCTGCGGTGGCAAAAACAGCACCGATGACTATTTCATCTGTAAATCAACCTCTCTTAGGTCAACCACCAAAAAAACTTGGTTGCCTTAACGCATTTTATGCTGGTATGGAGGGTTAGTAAAACATCCGGGACCACGATAACGAATGCGTGAGAGCTGTGATTGGTTTGTGGACGGAAATAGCAAACACACTGCACGGAAGCCACAATTCAAATGATTCCCGGAAAACTCCATGGACCACAGCATAGGCTAGTTGATTCCAACACAACTCAGAGCAGATGAGAGTCTGTCAGTGGCAATGCAAATGCAAGTTTCAAAAGTGCCTACTTGATGACAAGAGCATTGCCTAACGGTTTACATGATTGCAGTTGTTGTTTAAAACAAGAGAGGAAAATCGAATGTGCGTTAGATATGGAAACAGATTACACGTTTTTAAGTAGAAACTACTTGACCGAGTAACTTTTAAACGCCTGAGTACATGAGGAGAGGTTAACAATGATTAAACATAATGAATACATACACCAACAGAAATGATTTGCCTGGTTAAAGCTCTCGAATAGAAATACAATGATTTCTGTCCAACAACTCTCGAGATTAAGGACAATATTAGCAAGGGTAGTAAAGGGCAAACAGTGGGTTTGGTCTGCAGCAAGTGACATTTGTGAGAGTGAATTGACATGCGACAATCGATAAGGTTGTCTTGCGGCGTCTAATGCACCAAGCCATTGAAAAGTTTTACATACTTGGAGGAAAGAGAGACTGCTGGCGAAGTGGCCGGAGGAAAGCGCGGGAGGTCGGGAGGGCGGAGGGTGGTGCTGGGTGTGGTTGTCAGTTGAACAGTCAACACAGGAATTCTAAAATGCACGTCCCAAAATACACACACGACAAACCACACGAACCGCAATTATTGTGGCTAAAATGAGGTTAGAGAGTGGGTAGGCATTGTAATAGGGACTTGTGTGGAAGTTTGAGTCAACGACCAAAATTCAACGTCCGTTATATGAGAAAAAAAATCAAACTAGATGAGCAAATGTGACTGGGATGAAGGGACACTCCACAAACCGTTGTTGAAGGTGTGTTCAACTGGGCTTCAGACGACCTCCTGGTGTCCGCCTCAGTGCTCTGAGAAGAGGTAACCAGAGACGCGGCCACTCTGGCCATTGCAGTGGCCAACTCAGATTTCACCTGAGCAAGGTCTCTCTTAAGACTGGCCACTTCCTCACGTTCATTGGCAAGGCACACAGCGGACGCATTGAGTTCCTCCTTCGTCATAGCCAACTGCCGACTAGTCGATTCAAAGTCGCTGCGTAGCCTGGGAGAGAAGGAATCGGGATTAATACAACGCCTTGTGTGGCACATAGTCAAGGTGATAGCACAATTGACAGACTAATTTTAATGCAACCAAGACATCAGTTAGTTTTGTAGATCTCGTCGGCGATGACCGACGCCAACCGGATCCGCAGCCCCAACAATCAGAGGATAAAGGTGACTGACAATAACAGTTCCTTCAAGCAACTGCAAGGCTTTGTGGTACCTTTTCGAAATCGGTATGCCGCTTTAAACACACGAACAAGCCAGTTGAAAGACAAAAATTCCACCAAGAGGTTAATTGTGACCACGCTTCGCTGCATCCCTTATCGCTAGCTGAACTTAAAGCTACCTATGTAAGTTAAGCAATACTAACGGTGTCAGGGGCAACCACGCCCCTACAGAAATACATAGTGAAAGATTATTATACCGTGGCGTCAGTAAGCGACATCAGCGGTCTAATTTACCGGCCAGGCAGTAAGCGCAACGGATAAAAGAAAGTCTTGGACACAGGACGTATTGACGAGATGGCGCTCGTTAATGACGGGCAAAAAGTGGGGTTAATTAGTACGCGCGTGTGATTTTCATGCGCCTCACACGTCAACTACTAATTATTCACCTAAGCGGCAACTTTTCGTGCAGTAACACACACACGAGAACGCCTCCCACGCAAAGGGCATTTCTTTCTTGCCGGCGTCGACACACGATATGACAAGTTGGCGTTCGTAAATACACTCACTGAATTCAGTGAAATGCGAATCTACGGCATTAGCGGCAATATCACTAATGAAAAGGAAACGTCGTAGGTTTAAGGCCTAAAAGCGCTTGCGTCTCCATCTGAAGTGATCGGGATAAGAGAGTTCATTTCCAGATGCAGAGAGCATATGATAGTGAGTCAAGTGAACAGGTAGAATGAGGCAAGATAGCCGGGTCGGAGTGACTTCTGTCAGGATGGCGTGAGTGGGATTGTGTAGACAAGACATGACCTTAAAATACGTCAATTCCAGACAACCGACCTGAGGCAATGCAAAAACGAACAGACCTTTTAGTAACGAGAAAGCAGATCGTAGTAAGCCAAATAGACAGAACGACGCGTTTCATATGGCCATGCCGCTTCGGTTTCCTGGGCAACAGTTAGTCCCACTTATTCCGCAATCAACCCTGACAATCAACATGCGTGCAATCAAGTTCAAAATGAAATGCGTTCCATTTAAACTCTGTCTCGATTTGTGAAGTTCTAGGGTGCGACTGTTCTTTTAAGACAAGTCGTCTACCATGGAAACGTCGCGTGGCGCATAGCATAGGTCATTCCCCCTACAAATGCCGGCTTGGTCACCACCAGTCGCCAATGGTCTGCCTGAGCGCATACCGTTTTGGCATGTCGTGGCATCAGAAACAAATTTTGAGAACCGTTTTTGGCACACACACACACACACGCTCGCACACATCGTCTTCTTCATGCACGCCACAAATCCCCTTTGGTAGGCGTCGCCCCATTCTCATTTGAGCACATGGAGGAGCATCAAACACTGGTGGTTTGACGCTTAAAGACCCCAAAGTAGCATGGCGTGCGATATCGACGCGGGAATCGTAGTATGAGAAGGCTAAGATCTGACACCTAATTTCAGGAACCACCGCAGATACGCAGTTCGCACAAAACCACAGCGTGGGTGGAAACTTCGAGGGCTGAAGTCTCGGTTAGGGGCTGGAGGTGGGGTTGCACGAACGCTCTCCACGTCAGCTTGAACATGCTAGGACGACGTGTCAAGGGTTATTTAAGGCGATTTACTTTACTAAAAGCGCCTTATCAGAAGTGGCCTCCTGACTGCATTGCGAGAGACGCGCTTGAAGTCGCTTGGACTGTTCCCGCTCCAGAGCGAGTTCCCCCCGAACGGCAACCACAGTGGCTTCGGCTTCGCACAGCCGATCCCGGAACTCATGGCTGGCTTTCTCTGCCGAATCTAAGTGCGCCTTCAGATCCGCTAAAACGAGAACAACATCAATCGCGCAGTCACAACGTGCAAAAATATCGATTCACCAGTGGATTTAGTTAGCAATTTTTCAATTACCAACTCCCAAAATAAGGCTGGATGCGCCAGGTACACACATAGAAAACAAGCAATGCTAACTAGAAGTTATTATAACCTAATAGTGTACTATAATAAGTAATGCGAAATACGGGGAGGGAATTTGTTTAAGGAAGCATTTATGAATTCTCAAAGTAATTCAAAAGCAGTGTGACGCATACACGGATTCTACCAGCACATTTCAGTAAACAACTGCTTGATCTTCGCCGTTTGGCAATTGCATTATTAGATATAAGGCAATTACATTATTTAACGGGAAATTTTTTTTAATTTGAAGGGTGGGTAGAGATGAGAAAAACAACCTTTTTTGGGTTACCGCAGAGGAAGTCAAACTAACTCAAGACGGCTCCAATTTCTGGAAACAACTCATCGTTACTCTGGAATGTTGTGCGTGAAAACACACACGTACACACGCACACACACAAACACGACAGGCGATATTCAAGTGGTCAGCAACTGTGTTCAAGGTAAAAGCAACTCCCAGACCGTGTGAGCGAGATCGGCGACTGCGAGGCACTGCATAACTTTACTGGATGTCAGGAGTGAAAGGCTTAGTTGATTGCTGGGATTACTTTACGAAGAAAAACAGTCTCACCAACTTGAACAAGAAGGCCTTGCTCAGTCCCCTCCCAGGCTTTGGCTTGGTCGCTGAGTTTGGTTTGAAGAGATTCGATTTGCCGAAGCAGCGGTTTCGCAACTGAGGTCGCAGTCTCGCCCAAGGACTCAAAGCGCGACTCCGACTCTGCCAACTGCTCCTACGAAGACAGGAGTGAAAACTCAACTGAACCCGCCTAAACACCCAACACCACCTGACAATTCCGGGTTAACAATCATAGGTCATTTGAGTTTGAATAAAACCGTCACTTTAACCAACCGGGAGGCTGCAGTACTCCAAAAAAAGCAAAGAGAACCTGTGTGGACACGAGAAGGCAGTGCTGCGTCGTAGGAGGCGCGAGCTTACCCTGTAGTAGTTGGCCTCCTGTTGGGCCTGTTGAAGGCGCTGGTCGGCGTCTAATTTCTGTCGCACACCCACCAATCGCAACTCCTCCAACTGTGTCCTCAGCATGCTGACCTCATCACGAAGGCTCTGGTGTGTTTCCGCGGCGTCTCGAATGGCCTCACTGCGACTCTTCGCATTCGATAAAGCCATCCTGGCTGACTCCAGAGCAACCACAGTTTCCGCAAGCTTACTGCAGAGACAAAAAAACGAGGATGGTGCGTTGGTCCGGTGGTGCTAAAGCACGTCACCCGATTACTTGGACAGTGGTGCAGTTAATGTGTACGTTAGTGTAAGAAGAGTACTACACTGGAACAAGTGTCGTCTGCTAGTACTGACAGCGACTCACAAAAATTTCATCAGGGATTTGCTGAGAAACAGCCTGCAAAATATCCACTCGTACTCCTCAGGTAATTACCACCGTTGTAATAATGTAACGCTATAACGTTTCGATGTAAATACTGTGTAGACTTGAAAATGAACGCAACGTATCGTTTCAGCCAAGAAGTCGCGAGTTACACAACTGCACTCGGCTTCTGCTATAATAATAGCGGAACGAAACGGACACTTCTAAACACTAAATATGCCTGATAACAACCAAATCAATTACAAGCCGATTAAGAATCGAATTTCACGTGAATAGATAAAGCGTGTTGGCAACAAATAAGTCAACAACGAACACTCCAGGTGACTGAAATGTTAGTGTTAACAAATGGAAGCAACTCTTCGTCGTTTTAAGGCAAGCCCATTCGCACGAGGGCAGTCCTAAGGCATAAAAAGTTTGTTTTGCTACTAAAAAAAGGAGTGGCAGGAGTCACACACCCATCAGATTCAAACTTCGCTCGACGAAACGATTCCACCTTTTCTTCGGCCGAAATTAGTTGAGTCTAAACACAGGAGACAATTAGTCGCGTGGACGAATGCGGCGCTGCAAGAAAACTAAACACAACCCACCCTAACTGCGGCCAAGTCTTTTTCCAGTTTCAAGTTTTGACGATTCAGTTGATTGATGGATTCTAAGTAAACAAAAGTAATATGGGAAAATTAGTACAACAGTGTGTCAGCTAACAGAATGCGCATTTTGCGATCCATTAAAGTATGCGACTCAATCGAACACGTGAGAAATTAAGCACTGCACTACTGTGGGAGGCATTCGTGAAATTGCCAAGCACTCCAACGGTCTTTAAACTTGATTACTGCCAGACATAGCTTGAGGATTAATGGCAACTACTGAAGACTGAGGTAGTAGTGCCAAAAGACACCACAGCTCGGGGCTTCTGGCAGCAGAATTTACGCCAAAATGTCCGGTGGAGGCGGCGGTTACGTGACAACTGACCCGAATGCCAACGCAGTTTACGAACATCTAGTCAAGTGAGGGGCGCGCAGGAGTAACACTTAAAATAAATGCAGTTAAGAAAAATCAAGCAAAGAGTTTGTGATCCCTGACGCCGGTAGAGGTCGATTTAACATGGATTCACGCTGAAACGATTGGTAGTGACGGACGCACAGACATTTGGTACAGCGCTTAGGTATCCCTAAGTTTAGTAGACGTTTAATGTGAATGAACAGGGTTCATTAGTTGAATTAAAGGCTAGTAAAAACACTGTAGACGTAAAATCCACTGAAAAAGTAACCTTAAAAGGGTCCCTTGCTAGACGTGTTAGCGCGTTGAACAGCACGAAGGCCAATTTGAAGGCATGCGCGTGCGCAGAGAATGAGAATTCAAATGTGGCAAGATGTGTCTAGCAAATACGATCTACTTCTATTTTAGTGATTAGAACTGCCGCCACAAAGTCTGCCAGAATAATGGAATTTACACCACCGCTTCGAATTGGTGTAAACATTCCTCAGTAAGGTGGGAAGGTGGACCAGCCCCGTTAAAGACCACTTTCCGGCCGGTGTCCACGGCCCTGAACGTCCTCCCCTCCACCCTACTCAACAAAACAATACGTCAATAAGGATAATGGCTCACCCAGTTGCTTGGCTTCGGTTTCTCGCCGTGTCGCAACATCCGCCTTAAGGGTTTCGAGCTCCGACTGGACTTTGCCAAAGGAGTTGCTTAAGTAAAACAAAACCATGAAAAGTCACGAAGGAGCAGGTGTCGGTGTGATTGCAGAAGTAGGACGTATAGACAACCTACCTGAGGGTCACCTTCTCGGACTCGGCAGTCTTCACTTTCGCACGCAGCGTTTTGACCAGATTATTGGTCTTCAATTGTTCCTGTGCCATTTTGTTACCTTCCCTCAGAAGATCGGCTAGTTGGGCTTCCTTCTCGGCCAGGGAACTTTCCAGCCACGAACATCGCACCCTAAAATGTTATTAAGAACGCTACACACTCTACTCAGCAGCCACAAGTAGCCAGCATAACTGAACTGCAATTCACCGAAGAGCCTTTTCTTGCTCGCCGATGGCTTGCTTGGGTGCGGATTCATTGGACACATTCGCAGCCAGCACTTGATTTCGCAGCTGGTCACGCTCACGAGCGACCAGACGCAGCTTCCTTTCGGCAATCGCTAGCCGTTCGGTGAACTCGTCCGTCAAGGACTGCAATGTTCCAGTCTCAAAGTCATGCGGGAGACCTGCCTCTTCAAGTTTCCTGCAAAAAGAGACGCAGAGGTTGATAAGTGGAGCTGAAATACTAATGGGATCAAAGCGAGGACAGAAATTTACGTATGGAGAAACTCGTTTACTTCCTGAAGAGAGAGGTTTGTGCGACACAGCTCCACGAGCTTCGCTTCTCTGGCTTCAAGTAATTTTGACAATTCCACGACTTTCTACAATACCGAATGAAAGTCATGCCTTACAACAATGTGAACCAGAAGATTAACCAATCGACGTGGTTTATTGATTTGTCAACTTGAGAGTTTACTGGCTAATCACTGTCAAAGTCACATTGCTTGGACTTGGTAAAACAAGAATCCAAAAAACCAAACGAATAAAACTGTATAAAACGGAATTGAGAGGGCACCTACCTAAATCACTTGCCAACCACCCCCGCACCATCATAACAATGAATTGGCTAGCACATCCAGTTCCAGGTAGGTACGCACAACTTGGCTCGCAGCTGCTGTTAGACGAATTTTTCCTTGCCACAACATCAATTAACAACCATAAATTACTGAAGATGGAAATGCTACGCCAACTCTGCCGAATTTTTGCTTAAACAGTTGAGATTAAATTGTTGTCCCCACCTAATCTAAGTGGATAGTCAGATAGTCGACAAAATTGATAAACGCAACAGTACCCCACATAGGGGAAAGCGTAACGACTAATAATAACAATAAATCAAATTTGAGCGAGAACAAGCGGCTGTATCGTTTTTACTGACAGAGGTAACACGATGATGAAAGGCGCCAGTACAGCACTTGTAGAAAGTGGAGTAACTCAAAGCATTTAGGCTGATGATATTTCTTACTTGGTGCATGGCGTCCTGACTCGGGATGTGATCTAAAGGCAACAAAAATGTGCGCTAGTTAGGAAGTGCAAACCGAATATCACAAATACAGTGAATAGCAATAACTAAGGACCTAACACTCGATCCGCAAGAGCCCCTTTAACTGTACATACAGAGTTAGATAATGCGGTTTGAAGTTTAGAATTAGGGCAAAAGGCCACCTATTACACCGCTGTTAATGAAAAAAACCACAGAATATTTGGCACGCAACGAACACCCTCCGGGAGAAACAGCAAGGTCGTCACAGGCGGTAAATACACATTTCATGATTCTGCAAAGGCTCCCTGATTTTGTCATTTAATGAAGTGTCGGCGCCGAAATGCACCAAAGTCATATGAGACCACGTCCGTGGGGCTCCCTGCGTGAAAGTGAGCATCAACATGGAGGTTTAATGTGTGGTTTGCACGTAGAGGTCTGCTGTTACCAACGCGGAAGGCAAGCGAGGTTCGGGTGTTGGCTTCGGTTGTGCTCAAACGCTAACAGAGGTCATTGGAGAAGACCAGCTTCTAGCACGGAGACAGTCAGCTCATGAGGTTGCCATAACTAGCCATCTGAATGACATTATAGCTGCTTCTGTCTTCTTGAAGCACTGATCTACTGTCAGTACCACGCGAATGACTCTCGAGAGCTAGACATTTACAGTCGGACAGTCAAATCGATTAATTAGCTCAACGTTCACGTCCTCAACGCGTCACTTGAGGGCTAAAAACTAGGCTTCAACCGACAGACGATGGTTCCACTACACGACTTCCAGACATTCGGTCAAGCATTTATCGCATTTGCTTAAGCGTAAAAAACTAATCCATTCTATCCTGCCCAGTGTCATGTTCAGAGCTTGGTGTCAGAAGGTTGGCTGCTAAGACCTCGTAAATAAAAAAAAGTTGATAAAACCGGTAATTTTACTTCCCTGAAAACCACCGAACAAAAGTAACTGGAAAACTTGCCAAGGTAGTGTGTCGATGAATACGTCTAAAGTATTCGTCAAGGGGAATCAGCTGAGCGGAATGGAAGACAGACACGTAAACCCGGCACGTGATTGACTCAATTAGAATGGATCACATGCAATTAAAATTTGTGCTATTCTGACTAATAGCCCGCCTTCCACCGTTCTGGTAACCGATGCATTCGACTGCTGCATAATGCATAGGCAGTATTAACAGAGGGGCTCCGAATTTTCGGCGCAAAAGAGTTCTGTGCGGCGTTAAGACTATAGAGTGGGAAAGTCGACTAAGTCTTAAGCGCCTCCCAGTCGATTGTTCCCTTTACTTAGGCAAATTTCGGGCAGCCAATAGGTGGGGTGAAAAGCATGAAGCGGAATACGACGCCTTCTCAAATCCACACGAATGACGTGACTCCGCCTGGGAGGAATTAGTCTCTGTAGTCACCACTGTAGGTGCAAGGCACCCTCGCCGATACCGCCGCATGAGAGCTAACGCTAATGACCGTCGACGGGGTGTTGGAGGACACATGTAGACCTCGCTGGAATAGCGATTTGCACAGAGAGATGCTTGAGGTGGCCAGTGGGAGCAAATCCTCCTAACGTGATCCAGATCCTTCGAGCTGACGCTACTTGAACCGAGTTAGTAGCTACCTGTTTCATGAAATAGGGGGTTTGCGTTGTGTCACAGTCCATATAGCGCACCGAATTGAATTCGAACCATGGATCCATCCCATTTTGCATTTAAAAAGGACAGGAAATACTACTGTATGAATTGACAAACAGGCCTAAAGGCAAAAGTAGTCAGCCTCCACTTGAAGCAACTGGAAAATCGTGAGGCAATAAAGTCCTTAGTCTCGCACACCTTTGTAAGGAGGAAATTGCATAGGTATAAAAAAAGTTTACGGCTTGGCATTATAAAAACAAAAGCTGGAATTCGTAATTTTTATGGTAATACGAGGAGACTTTGGTAGCCCATTACAGCCTGACCGTTTGAATTTTAATTTTTAAGCAACGCACTGCCTTTGGCGGACATTAAAGTGTTGTTTCGTTGTCACGCTCAACAAAATCGACTATTGGCTAACTTAAAGTAGAGAAATTGATGCAATACCTAGACCGGTTAAAAATGTAAAATCCCAGTCATGTGGAAGAGCTGATAATCTTTGAACAGATGCACAGGCGCTAAGATTTAAAATTCCTTCAAGTCCCCTGGGGTCAAACCTAAGCCATTGTCAGGCACTAACGACGTGCACCCTGACTAGGTGGACACCACGACTCGGGGGATGTTGGACATGCTTACAGCCAGACAAAATGCATTACCTGACGATTTGGCAATAACTGCGATGGTTGGAAATCGATTGGTTGGATGCGATCCTAAATCGAGTGGCTAAAACTATGCTGCTACGGGTAGAAACACAAGGTCTCAAATCGACCCGAGCCCCAGCGAATTCAAAAAATGATAAGAATGAAGCAAAAATCGATATTGCTACACACAACCGACGCCACCTCACGAAAAGGGGTCAGGTTGGAACAAAATAACCTCGAATGTCGGGGCAGAAACAACAAGGTCACAACGGTTGACCTTACCGCGCATATTCGTATTACCGTTGGCATGCAATAATAACATACAACCTGAGTGGGGTCGGTGGATTGAGTGATTCTACAACATGAATGTTTAGGGCACATTCGGCTGGCTCGAGCAATTCTCTAGGATTGACGAGTGCTGGGAACTTGCAGGTTGAAAATCTGGTGAAACATTACGTCTGGGATGCATACAAAAATAGGAAAATGGGTAGCAAATGTTCACTTGATCTTACCTGTTAAAACGGAACTGACAAATTGACGACCAGGGACACTAAATAAAAGTAAAAGAGAGGATGAATTTTGTTCCCTTGCATTAAGACAATGCAAAAATGCCAATGCGACATGCATCCAAGCGCAGGTGGGCTAAGCTTTGGGACCTTAATCCGTCTCAACAGTTGGAATGACCGCACATGCAATAAAGATGGATTTTGTGCAAACAAAAATTCCATCCTTACGCAGACGAGGGTAGGACAGTTTCATCACAGATGGATGTACAGGTGGAAATCACTTCGATTTCTGAACTAGTAGTGGCCACAGAGTCCTCGTCGACGCGAACCTTTGGGGAAGAGACACCTGCCTGGGGCTCGACTCCGTCTTCTTGCCCCACAATGCAGTTCGGCGGGCAGGCAGTGGACACTTCTACTTCGGGAGGCGTTGAGTCTGTCTGCATCTTGCCAACTCCAGCATTCGTCTGTGATGTGGCGGAGAGATTTTGGCCTGACGGAGAGTCAGCGGCAAGAGTGCCGGAAGTGCTCAATTCCAAAGAACTGCAGGCATCACCTTGAGGTAGGGGGACTGAGGTGCCCTCAGAGGTTGATGTGGCACTCAGTGGTTCCACCTAGGACAAGAAAGTGGCATTCACTTCGATTCTGCCGATTTTTGTCTGTTTGATAACTGTTTAAACCTGAGATTCTTTGTAACGTTTATATGTGATGGATCCTACATTAACAATCGCATCACACGCATATAATGGTAAAGAAATAATGGGAATTGGATTCACCGATACAAAATTAGTTGTCTTATTGGGGAAATCGCACATGATAGCGCCAACTTGGTTCACATTTCGACGTGTTCATTAAACATTTCTGAAGTGAAGGAACGATACACAACTAGGTTGCTTAACCAATACCAAAACAATCGTTCAAGCGGAAACGAACCTTGGAAAACGGCGTTCACATCATGTGTGAAAAACCACTTGCAGGTCGATGCAAGCAAGTTTAAGTGCTACATCTCAAGTTACAAATAGGGAAACTCAAAATAACCTATGGAAATTGGTTGCTTTTCTGAAGCAAAGCCATACAAGTGACCCACAAGATGTCTCAAAGTGTAGGCGAAAAGTTGAAAGACTAGCAGAGAAAGCGGAGGAACTACGTGGCCTCTTAACACTAATCTGATGTTCTACTGTCACTCAATTCTTTCAACTACATCTTACGCTGACGGATCCCGTAGTGCCTTCCAAGTATTCTCCCACCTCTGATTCAGGCATTGGTCCTGATGAAAGAGAGGATGAGGTCTGTCGACCACGTTTCCGTGTGAGTTCAGAAGGACGTTCATCAAAATCCAATACTGGGGCTGAGTTCTCCCGCAACGGTTCATGGTATGTGAATACGTTGCCATCGGTGTCTAAAACCATTCCCGAACTCCGAACTATGTTTTTTATTAAAAATAAATTTAATTAGTATAATCAAATCCCAGCCATTTGGAGTGCCAATCAAAAACAACAGTGTACCAGTTTCAGAAGGTGTCCTGGGATCTTACAATTACATGTTTGCACAGCCTAAGTCTCACCTTAAAGTCCATAAATGGATCAAAACTTGTAAAACTTAATTAGAATGTAAAATTAATGCGATTAAGCGAAGAGACTGTTACACGGTGGCATAAAGTTAGTGTAAGTACTATGTGTAGTAATTAGGGTATCTTAAGAACTTTGGATTCGCCTGTTATTCTTGGTGATCATATGCAATACGAAGAGGTAAAACGGACAGGTTCTTTGGCTTTTGTTACACTGCAAACGTCAACTACAGCTTAGCGTCATAAAAGGGCAAGAGAAAATGGACAATGAAGCTTCAAATCGTCCATAATAAGTATATAAATCTCCCGATAATTGAGTCACAATCAGGTAATTTTGGTGCACCGTGGTCACAATGTAATGCACCTTCGAAACATTTGAGGAATTTAAGGAAAATAAACGCACCGAAATACAAGTAAGGCCAAATAAAATCATAATAAGTGAAAGATGTGGAAGTTTAAAATACAAAACGAGAAAGATGGATAAGATTGCTAGCCCGTCACTTGGGAGAATGGCCGAACTCCATTAAACTCCAGCATGACGGAATAAATGCATACAAAAAGCCGTACCCAGTTTTGCGGATTATTTTACAGCTTGCAGAACAGCAAAGCAAACAGTTTTCTTTCACCTTTTCACAAATACATTCATCACAATAGATCTAAACCCTGCAACGATTTTTGGAGTACCAATACAAGTGCATCGAATTATGGTACTTCTTAAGTGGCTGAACACCCTCAGTGATTTAGCGTTTTCAGGTCGAAACATTCCATCCCATTTACTACATAAAAATGTGATTGCTCTGTTTATTTTTTCCGAGTTACCTTTTCCAGGATTTAAATTGTACTGCATTACTACTTCCGTTGATGTTTAGCCGAAGGGAGCAGCAGCTGATAAACTTAGAAGGCCAATTATAAAATCGAATGCCATACAATTGATGCACTGACTATTAATCATCAAACATTCGACTGCGGAGCAACGAACGGTCCGACAAACCAACTCCGAAAACTATTGCAATTAATATGGGTTTAAACTTCGATAGAACACAGTTATCAAATAAAGACAAGCTTTGACAACCTAGTTTAAAGTATAAAAGTGATCCCATGAAGATTATACAATTGATTTTTTTTTCAAAAAAGAGAAAAATAATAATTTTAATACAAAAAAATGTAAAAATAATGCAACGTACACTGCCCATCAACTGGGAATGCATCCGCATCAATATCAAGAACTTTATCTAATTTCCTTTGAGCTTCCTTGAATGCAGAAGTAGCGAGCTTCGAGGCGTTGCTAATAGACGACCAAAAATTCATTACAAATAATCCTAGCCTAAAATGATTGTGAGAATCTAGGTTAAATTGCGAAAATTGATTTATTAGCTATTGTAGCTAATGTTTTGGTAGGAAGATTTTGCCTTGCAATTACATAATTACATTAATTAGTTAATACATTCTGGAATCAGTAATTAGATAATTACCATACACATGCATAAATTTCACTTATTTTGACTCGTAAAGAATCATAAGGCATAATGAATATTATATGGAATTCCAAATGCCATTAAAATGTTAATAAATGCCTGTCGTTAACTTATTTTTCGTCTTTACATTTTCACCTATAATCGAATAACAAGAAAGCAATTATTTAAAGCGGAAAATCGCTAGCACTTTACTTTGATTTATCACACAACTTAATTTACATGAAATAATCTTTTCCATTACCCAGGTTTACAAAACGTTAACAAAATAAAAATGACAATGTCTTAAGGTGGAAAAAAAATTGTCGAAAATGGTGTTTAAGGTAAAAAGTAGGTTTAGATTTGGCCTAATTTGTCCAACTTTCCGCACAATAATATTCACTTATATCCAGAACTATACTCGAGATAACTTTTGGTTATTTTAAATTGCATGCTTAGTTGTTCTACGTGATGGAAGTTTTAAACGAGTATTTCCAGATTCAAGTCTTTTTTTAGGTACGTAAAATGGAACAAAGTACAGGGCTGGCAAGGTCTGTGGTTTACAAGAATGCAGCTCAATCTTTCCAGCTTGCGACTTATTGAATTAAAATCGACGTTTATTATGCGCAGTTGTTGAAGCTATCAACAAATAACTTACTTTGTCTTTCGTAATCGTTATTGCAAAATCAGGTCATTCCACAAGAATGTACGAAGTCTAGCTTCATTCACTTAATATACTTATTAAGTTTCCTAGGTACGATTCTTCGCCCTTTTATCCAAATTTTATTTTACTTAAGTTTTAAATGTTTGAGGTCCTGGTTGTATAGACTGTATTGCCAATGGTGAGTAATGCCATTTATCGTTTTAAGTAAGCTTTCTGAGTTCCACCAACAATCGGTAGAAATACTATCGTTCCACTGGACTAGGTTTATCATGCCCACGACCTGTAAATATACGCAACATTTAGGCCTCAAGCCATTCAAAACAATCAAAATAAAATAACTGTAATCTCTGTCATCAAACACATGCTTACAAGCCATTGTGGTGCATCAACCCAGAAACACTAATTTGTGTTATAATGAGATTTTCAAGATTCCTCGTTATTGATAATGTAGATAGGCCTTAAAACAATAAAATTATCCCCATTATTTCACATTGCCTACTTTAATGGCAAAATTTAATTGTCCTGATTCTAACGTGACATTATTTTTTTTTGTTCTTTAGGACCAACGTACCAAAATACACTAAAATTCAAATTTGCTTTGGCCTAAATTTGTCAGGAATTTTTAAAATAATATGCAGTGCCTTTTTTGTCTGTGTACCTTAGAAACCAATTTAACATCCGTGGTCATTTATTTTCGCTACAAAAGCGTGTGGCAAAATAAAAAGTTCCAAGTTATCTGTTGCCTCGATTCTAGCAATTACATTAATTTTTCGCATTTCAAGTTGATGTAAAAATTGCTCATTTTAGACCAGTTTACTATGTAGATATAATTGTTAAAAGGAGATTTAAAAACATCATCAGCTAGCTCAATTTCAACAATAATTCTAAAATTGTTTATAACGTTCTGTGAGTGTTTCCCAATTTTGAAAGTGTCAAATCAACTAATCTATCTGGTCTTAGTAGAGTAGATGGCCGATGAGGTTCCAAAGGACCGCGTAAAGGATCTTAGGCAAGGACCTAGTATTAGTCAGTGTTTTCTTTTCAGGCAAGAGACAATTCTTTGTCGTGTTAAGTATCACAACAACCTCCCCGACATCGCTTTTGATCCGAAATTTTTAACCTATCCGTTTGAGTCCTCCAGATTTGTACAGTATGCAGCCACTTCCCTTGAAAGGAATCACAAGCATGAGCTCTTGTGTGAGACTGACGTTGGTGTGGATGTGGATCTTATTGATCCTGATGTTTTCGCCCCCGATCCGTCAGGTAAATTTGTGAATTTTTTACTCTGTTTAGCAACCTTGCACCCTGATGATGAGAAACTTTTAGAGGATGACGATTCAAATGCACTAAATGATAGGAAGTAATGCACCTCCAGTAATCGCCATTATTTTAATAGATCACGTCATCAAAGGTCTGTGGCGTGGCTACGTAAAACAGAATATCTCTCCACTGAACATTACAATAAGTGGAACAAAACGGAGAAAATTGAGACTAAGTTGTTTTTATTTCTCTCTTTATCTCTGTAGACTTGGTCATAATATCAAACAGCGATTTACAGAAGAAATTGTATATCGTGACCGAGAAAGCCAAATAAGTGCTATTCAAGCCACCTTTGCTGCGGCTAAAAAGCCAATAAAACGACATTACAGCAAGCCTGGAGTTCACGCTGTTGAAGTTCTCCCTCTCCTCCCCGACTTTAAGCTGTGGCGATATCCTTGTGCTCAGGTAAGATAACTGACATTTCTTGGTCTTGTACTATACACATCTGCGCATCAATGAATTTTCGTGTTCAGGTTATTTTCGACGATGATCCTGCCCGTAAGGGTCAGTCGGTAACCGAGCAACGTGCAGAAGTTAATCAGGCTGTAATAAGGTATTCTTCAATCAAACATACCTATCCCAACTATGCATGACTTCATTTCGATCTTGTGAATTTTAGGGGTATGGTAGACGAAACTGGCGATCACTTCGTTGTCTACTTTTTGCCTACGGAAGAAACAAAGCAACTTCGTCGCTTGGATGCCGAGAACCATGTTGCATTCACTGAAGGAGCTTCTTATGAGTATGAAAAGGCACGTGAATATAATTGGAACGTAAAAAATAAAACCATGGCCAACTACGAGGAGAACTACTTCTTTGTTTTTCGCAAGGAAGATAAAGGTTTGTTATCATTTTTGCCGATGTTGTCACACATAAGTTTGTATTAACACACTTTTATTGTCTCATGTAACAGATTGCCCAGCCGGTGTTTATTACAATGAGTTGGAGACACGTGTACGTCTTAGCAAGAGACGAAAGCTGCAGTCAAGCTTTGGAGGGACTTCAACGGCTGCTCTACAGCCCCCATCGAAGATGCGTCTTATTGTGCAGCATCGTGACTTCACATACGAAGAGCTTCAAGCTCAAACAGCGCGTCTTGACATGCTCAAACACGAATCTGAGGACGAGGAAGAAGAGGAGCAAGCACAAAATCAAGAAGAAGGTGACGAAGAAGAAGAAGAAAAGGAGCGCTCGCCAGAAAACGAGTCTACAGCGAATTCTTCTACTTCTTCACCTGCTGGTTTGTTCTCAACAATTTGCCTTAGTAGAGTTATTATTTTGCTTCTTACATTTCATTGCGTTTGAATCTCTAAAACCTAAACAAATAATCGTTTTACCGTTTCTGACTCATGTATGTACTGCTATCTCACCACAAGTAGCTTAATTTCATATGTGTAGCTTCAGATCTCGCCGTTCTTGATGTTTGATATTTATTAAAGTGTTGTTACGGATGATAATAATATGTTCATGCATATTTCGTGAAAATCTTTGCTAAGTGTCGTTCCGTGTTTGTTGTCAAGATAAATTCACCACTTTCAGCTTGTTAGGTGCGGTCTACGGCTTATGTTTCACTAGATTGGCAAGTTGTCGGACTTTAGCTGCCTTGTAAACGCTTTTCGTTTTGTAGTTAGGAAAATGTATTATAAATTACCCCCATGTCTTGTTACTAGATTGAAGTGCAACTGATTTCTGCATCCCAGATTTTCCTTCCTAATATAGAGAAATTTCTCAGTTTTCAACCTGTCTAATCTGCAAATGCGTTTGACAGTGAATCCCATTTGCTTGTGAATAACCATAATTTGCATACCTTCCACCGATAGGATAAGATTTGGGCACATTTCTAGTGTAGCAACCGTGATGTTGGGAGACCGCTTTCTTAGCCTCATTCATCGTGTGCAATGTGGCTGAGTTTGTATTTGTCCTCTTCAGCTACCCAATTGAAAGCTGCTTCTCAGCCACAGTCAGAAAGCGACGAGGCGCGAAGTAGCCAAGAAGAAGACGAGGAACATCAAGGTTCTCGTTATGGTTCGGCATCTAAGCGTCCTGCGACTAAACGTCCTACGGCCTCATCTGTTTTTTCGGATGATGATGACGATGATGATGAAGAAGAAGAGGGGGAAGAAGGGAATGAAAATGAGCACGATGATCGTAGATCGGTTTCATCTGGTCTTTCCAATGACAGCGAGCCCCCAACAAGACCATCACCTCATTCAACCCGCTACGCATCGAAGAAGGGGCGCAAAGAGGCCTCTCCTGATGGTATGGTGTCCTCTTGTTTGTACAAAATGCCAAAAGGACTGTTTCGAAGCAGCTAGGTGCCCACAAGTCAGTCTTAGTTTGTTTGCACACAAACGTTTCATGTGGCTCCTTTAATTGAGCTATAAGTTAGGTAAGATTAATGCGAAAAGCTTTGGTAGCAAAGCATTCCTTGAGAAAGAATATATGTAAAAAACCGGCACCAATTGTGCAATCACAATCGCCAAGCAGAAGCTGTAGTTCGCTGTTGGAAAAACCAATGGAAGGTTGTAGTGGTTTTGCGGCTGGGCGTATTCTTAAAACGAACTTTCAGTTGAATTCATTGGCCGGTGATATGCTGGTTTAACTAACTGGAGCTGTTCGTATTTATTCAGACGAGAATAGCGAAAGTGACCAGGAGGAAGATGCGCGCTCGCCTTCACCCCCTCCGTCGCACCAGCGGCGAAAATTTGCTCCTCCTCCATCGAGGTCCGCTGTTCAAAGCGACAGCGACGAGCTCAGCAGCCTCAGCGACTGAATCAACGTGTGGATGCAAACATGCTATTCCTTTTTTTATGTATATACTACCTACATCTATTTCACTATGTCTAACTCAAAATCAGGTTAATGGCATTGGGGGTGTAAGGTTTAAATCAGGAAAACAGGAAGAGGTTTGTGTCCTCCACACGGGCAGTTCACTCCTTCCCAAAGATTCATGCGCCCGATCAACCCTCCTTCCTTGTGGCTTGAGCATTCCTCCCTGTGAACCTGTTTGACTGAACCTTGTGTCAGGGATTACTCTGGTATTCCTAACGTTCCCGGTTGCCTCAGTGTCAACACGTAGAAGCCCCGACTTGCGACTCGACATGTTCAGAAAGGTTAGGTTTTGCTAAACGTTTACAAATTCGGTAGAGCATTTGCATTGCAGACAAGGTATGGCTTGGATTCTAGCCGCACGTATCCACTGTTAAGTAATTGTTGGGCGAAAATATCCTAGTAGGGTAACCAAACAGGTAAGTAGGTTCAAGCGTTAAACGGTTTGCGGGTTATTTACAGTGAGTCGCCGCCTTTTGTGTCGTGCAGTGTTGGTGTTAGATCAACAGTGCTGGATTTTTCGATACCATAACATCAGCTGTCTAGCACTCAGGTATTCACGGTGCCTCAAGATCACTCAATTGTTACTGTATTTGTGTAGGTAGTGAATAACTTCTAATTGGTGTGCTCTTAGTGTAACGTGCCCACCGAGCGGAGACCTAAATGTTTGGATAACTGTTATACCTTACCTCTAAGATAGCCACATGTTCCGAGTTGAAGAATTGCAGGGAGAAGCAGATGTATTGCAGAACGGCGTGCATTAGTCGAATGGCGCGCGTTGCCTTAGTTTAATTTGCAACGTGTGCGCGTTTTCAAACGAGGCGTTCGGAAATAAATGCTGATATTTTAACCATAAAGAGACATTCTAATGCAGTAGGGTGTTAGTGTCGCCGAAAATTTACTCTGATGTCTCTTTGCACACATTACCCTCCGATTTCACTGCGATCGCCATTTCAAGGTTATTCAATTACGGAAAAAAGGCTCAAGCATTTTGAAAACCAACCCATAAGCAAATATATAAATTACGCTACTAACCTCCTAGAACTGCCCCCTCAGTGTGGCCCAAAGTGTTCATTTTTTATGAGAAATTGGACATTTTAAACACTGTAATTGATCAGGCGTCACTTGGAGTTCAGCCCTCGAGAATAACTGTTCAGACCGTTCTTTCAGGGCTTAATGAAATCGTTGGCCGGGAATACTGCCAATTTATCTCATCACGGTTAGCTATATCGATTAGGAGTAAGGCTGCTTGAAAATTGATTGAAAACCGCACATTAATTTCGCCTAATGTTTCAATTTTAAGTATGGAGGATAGCAATTGGAAAGCACGATCATTTGGACGGCGATTTTGAGCTGATCAATAATTTTACACCATTTTAACATATCTGCACTGCTGCTGCCGTGTACGATTCCACGGTTAGCTGCCAGAATTAAAGATTTATCAGTGCTGGCATTCTAATGTCAGCCGTAAAGGGAATCAGAGGACATTCTTCGACTGGTTGATAACCACTGTCTCCAAAACTTACGATTTATCCTAGCCTAGCCGCTTTATCAAGCGAATAAATTTGTCCAGGAAACTCTACGTTTTTCGGAGAAGGCTGCAGTTTACGGCAGAGGTTATCCTTAATGGCGTGGAAAAAGGGTTAGTCGTCAAATTATTTCGGTTGTAAATGGTCTAGAGATATCTCCAAAATACTGTGAGCCTTTAAAAGTTAAACGCAGTGGATTTGTGTAAAAAAAAGCCACTGTTTTTCAGAAATCTAGCTATGAACGCGATTGTTTTATGTGGCAACAGGCACTCTTGAAATTGCTCTCACAAAAATTGATGAGTCGAATCTCAAACACCTGGGTGTGTGACACAACAGTCTTGGTTAACTTTGGACACCGCTTGTAGTGGCTAAAAGGCGATCTTGAGAATATTTCGTCTTTCCGTCCAAGAATTATTCATTTTAGGTCCTACTTCAATAAAGACGCCAATTCCATGAGACCATCTGTGAAGCAGATTTTATGAAAAGCGATTTTACCACGAAACTGCTTGTTCGAGTTCTTATTTTCGCGATAAGATGGGCTCTGTTGTAGGCTACTTATGCGTCATTTTAACTACCCACAGCTTGTTAAGCTAACGTGCCATTTTTCATGCTGTATCTAGCAAATACAAGTGGATTTTATTTGCCTCTACTCCTAGCAACCACTTAAATAAAAATTTAAAAGACTATCTGTCTTCATTCGACGAATTCCATCACCCTTGTGGGGGAACAGATGGCGGCTACTTTAGTGTCACTGGTTAGATCTGATTTCACAGTGCTGAGAGTTGTGCGTGGGAGTCGTTGCGTTAGGGGTTCCACCTCACGTGGTTTAAGCGCCCTCATGGTCTCATTTGCAAACCGCTTGACGATTATCGATGCAGTCCGGGTGGGGAAGGAGTAGCCGCAGGATGTGAGGCATCGATTGAGCAGGTAGGAGAAACCAATGGGGCGACCCTTCTCTTCGTGAAACTCCACCTGTATTGTGCGACTGTTGACAGGGCAGTAGAACGCACGTGGGTCGTCTGGTCGGATCAAAGTGATTTTGCAATTTCCAAGCCGTTCTATCCGACGGAGTCTGGCGTCCTTATGGTAAGTGGAAACAACTGGGTCATAATCTTTGGGCACGTAAATTATTTGCGTCACAACTCCACCCGTCTTCAGTTTCTACGAGAAATGAGAGTGAATCAAACCTCATGGGAATATTCTCTTTAAATTTCTCAAACAATCCTTGCACATACTTACTCTCAGGTGAAGTTGAATTTGATGAATTGCTTGCGCGAAGTCATTTGGCAAAATTTCCTCGTGTAGAAGGTAGCTAAACTCGTGGAGGTAGAAACCAATGTCGATGAGGCGCACGTATACAAGTGCTGGAATCTGTTGAGCGTATTCAACAACCTTGCCCATCTTTTCACACAGGTCTGTTACTTCAGTTATTAGAGGGCTATAGCATAGGTTCTTCGCTATTGACAACATGGTGCCTGTTATATTCTCAACCATGCCGACAAGCTCGCCAGTGTTGGTGAAGTCGTACTTGTCAATTAGCCTAGGACATTTCTTTAAGGCTATAAAGAAATCCTCCACCTGACTGCGCAAGACCACTATTTCATTGCGCGCCTCCTCTGTGATCTTTTCACAACAGGCCTCGGCCCCCGTGTCTCCCCTGGGTAAGCCGACGGTATTTGCTCGCAAAATTCGATTTTGATACTTCTTACGGCCTCGCCTCCTCGATGTACCTCCTTGTGCGTCATTGAATGGCCCACAATTCATGTGATTCATATAATTTTTTGCATTCTTAAATTTATCAGAACCAGGCTGCTGGCCGTCTTCAGAGGGTTGACAAATTTGTCGGACAGTTGCGTGTACTGAGATGGAGCCGTCTGCACAGTCGCAGTGGAATTCCTTGGCGTCATTCGCAGACTTCGATGGGACCATATTTCGGTGCAGAAGGCTTGTATTTTTTAATCCTTCGAGGTGTCACCTTTGGTACTTCCACCTTTCCTCAGCTTGGACGTTTCCACGTTCACCGGTTAGACTTACTACTGGTAAGCGATTCAAACACCCCCTAAGGTCGATCTCAACCACGTGTTCATATTGGATTGCACACTGTATGTGCTAAAAATAGAACAGCGGATGGCATGTTCTTAAAACCGATTTTAGAGTTGTAGGGGTTGACTAAAGACCAAGTACTTTAATTCTGCTTGAACTTGCTGCATTAAGCCCACGTTCATAGCGCATCTAGTCTAATTTAGACCATTGTTCCAATAGCGTCTTCAATGAATCGTGTTCCTGCTAACTTGTTAATTTGATAAAATGTCGCAATAATTCTCTTATTTGTAAACTTGAAAAACGTTGATTTTGATGAAGCCATAGGAGTAAAACTTTCCAACTCAAGCAGAAAATTTTGATTCTGTGAACTGGTTTCGAGGATGTTTTCGTATTTTTCGATCTTGAATGCGCTTATTTATTTTACCCCTTCCTTACCACTGCTTTACTGAGAGACTATACTCTGATTTGAAAGGAACTTAACCACTATGAAATACTGATTGAACTTGATTGTGATACAGTCTTGCTGCCTTACAACATCCTTCTTTTCTTAAGAAATTACATGCCTAATACAACTGCCGTAGACCGTGGCAACTATGTGAATGTTAGCAATTCCCAATGTAGACAAATCTCGTCTTGTGACATCTTAACGAATTCATTAGTTAAGGTGTCACAACGCGTCAGCACCCACCCTTAGTGCAGCGAGGTAACCATAGGTCTGCATCGTCGTGATAATTACAACCAAAGATGTTTTGTATCACAACGCAAAATGAAAGCTATAGATGGGGTTACCGCAAAGCTACCAGCAGTTAACCCAATTTTACCTCAATATCAGGCATGAGGACAATTACCGCTTTCCCACAAACACCAAAGCCGACAGAGTCGAAAGGATGCGTTTATGTCGGAACCGATTTGGCAAATGAGCATCATTTTACAGAAATAATGTGAAAAAGAAGGATGTGTATAATTTTGCGCTTCATGCACACCAAAGTTGACGTTTCCACAAGAAATGGAAAAATAGAGAAAGGAATGTATGACTAATGAAAATTGTCACACGTCGATTTTCGGTGCGATCCCCAAACCATTGCCTGCAACAATGTTCTGTTTGACCTCAACGTATGGAATGCGAGCTTCAGTGGTGTCGAAAGCACTGAAGTCCTCAGGAGATAGCTCAACCTCTGTACTGCAGAGGCGCCTAAATACGGAAGCCGCCAGACGTGATTTGGAGGACTTGCTTGTCGCACACTGGTCCAGCAAATGTTGGAAGCCCAGGTAGCGACCTTTCTTGAAGTCAAAATTCACCTCGATGGTGCGGTAGTCGACAGGGCAGTAGATGCATCGGGGATCGTCTGGTGGCAGCAGGACAATGTTGCAGTGGCAGAAGTTCTCCAATTTGATGAGTTGCCTGCTCTTGAAGTAGGTCCCAACGACTGGATCCATGTCAAAGGGAACATAGTAAATCTGGCGTATGATGCGTCCAGTTTGTAAGCGCTAAAAGCGAAGGACAATGATAAATATTGTTTACCACAGAATGCAGATTGATTGTGCTGATGAGACAACTTACGTATATGCGTCCTTGGACTTTGTGCACAAGGTGGGCAAACGAGGAAGGCAGCAGCTCTTCACGAAGGCGAGTGCCAACTTCATAAACGTTGAACCCAAATTCAACCAATCGGAGAAGAACAAACGGCGGACTTATTTCTAGCTCGTCAATCATCACATTGAGGCGAGTATTTACTTCTTCAAGGTCAGTCTTGTAGGGGCCGTAACGCAGATGCTCCATCAGGTCAACCAGTGTTGATTGAAATTGACAAATCTGACGAATCATCTCATCACAGATGCTGAAATCTCTCTTAGGGAGTGCTTCAAGAGCTGTGAGCAGCATGTCGAAAAAATTTTCAAGGATCTTGTGCATTTTATTGATATCCTCGCGAGCCAAAGGCGTAATTTTGAAAGAGCGCTCAAGTGGAGTTTCGTCGTTGTCATGGTACATCTTGGAGTGCCTTGAAGGTTGACTTGTGGTGCGGCAGTAAAGATTGACGTGTTGGGCAATGCCTTTCTGAATATCATCGTCCTCTGCAACTTCGTCAACCTTTTTGTACATTTGGCTAACCCCTAGGAACTTAGTTGAGCTACATCCCATGTTTATGCGTTGCCGGGCCAAGGAAACCAGATTAAGTGGCTTGTCGGGATCCCGTCCGCTCCTTGAGCAGAGCTGTTCTCTCTCTCCGGCTTCTCGTGGCTCACCCTGAGTTATTTGCTTCTGTCCGGTAGCTCCAGTGGATGCGCCCCCCTGTGCTTCTTCATTGTCAGCCTTTTTCGCGCAGTCTTCCGCACAGCCAGGTGCCAACGTAATATTCAGTGTTATTGTTGTTTTGCCGTTTTCTTTTTCGCAGATGACATTATCGGAAACAGACGCTGGCAGGCTCATTTTCAGTTGCAAATTAGGCCTTGGTAAAAAGGTAACTGCTCTGCTAGGGTGGAAGTTTGAATGGGATCGATCAATATCTACGCGTCGATTCCTTGTAGGATACCATCTGAATCGTGATTGGCCCGTTTCAAGGCCATAATCACGTCGAGAGGATTGATCTTCTTTTTTACGAAGGCATTAATTATGCTTTGTAAACCATTATAATTTAGGCTTTTGATAACCTTTTGTGGTCTCATTCTCACTTTTTCATAAATTTTAAAACTGACGGAAAAATATTTTCTTGAAATTACGGTTGCTGTTTTTACGTGGGCAAAATTTGTGCGGAATAATTTCTTTTTCAAGGTTTCCTCTTTGAACAATGTTCATTATCACTATGTCAATATCTGCTGATTTTATCCTGCTTTTATACAGCCCGGTTGCAAAAAGAACCGATATTGTCTTTACTAACACATTCACACATGGGTATCTGTCGTTTCTCTTTACTTTCTTCTCATTCAATTAGCTGTTCGCCAAACCCTCACCTTTACCTTAGTATCTGGTAAACAAAGACGGCCTTGAGTAGTATTTCTGTATGTTCGTCGGTGTGTGCTTACTACGTTAGCGCGTTTAATGTAGCTGTCTCATTATCAGTTCACGTGGGTGAGTGACGTGGACTTTCCACGTTATACGCGGAAATCCCACGCAGGCTCTTTGTGGGTGAACAAATAGGTCGTAAACTGTTTTCCTCCTCTGATAGTATAACTGGCAATTCGAAGAGTTGGGCCCTGCATTTGGGCCATAAGCGCCTTCGATAGACCTTTAGCATAACCCAGGTCGACGTCTTGTATAAACTCAAAGCAACCCATTTAACTGACAGCCGCACAAATGAGGAGATCAAATGAATCTGTCTACCTAGACTTGCTGCTTTGGGCTTAATTTACGATGCCTGTTTTGCCTCAGGGCCAGACATTTTCTCACGGTGGTCATTACGCTACGCTGCACGAGTTGACACGGTTCTTATTTTTTAAAATCTATCTCGTAGGATGCAATCTTATGTGATAATCTTTGGCAGACCGAACATCAAAGGAGTTATTGCTTATGTGTATGGGCAGTCTTGTCAAACGAGAAACTATTGAGGGAGAGTAATACATGATAGAATCTACATAAGAAACTCGAAAACGTACTGCACTACTGTGTGATTCTCATTTGGCTTGTTTTGTCAGCGAAACGGCGTGAAACTATTGGGCGGCTTGACATTTTCCAAGGGCAGTTTTATTCCAATGTGGGCTGCAACACTTAGTAAGCAACACTCAAAACATGTTGTTTAACCCCAAATAACCAGAGACGCGGTGGACACAGAGACTAATTCATGGTTAAGGTGAGTCACTGATAACAATCTCCAACAAGTTTACTTTACGAGACGTCTGATTACTTCTACCTGGTCATCATAGCGGATAACATTTATTTTAAAGATTACTAATTAAACAGAATGCGTTTTAATCTTTTGACAAGAGCACAGTAGGACGTTAAGAATTCCAACCATCCTTGGCGCTACGCCTACTTGAAATGTCCAAAAAGAAGTAGAATCCAGGATATCACTGTTGCACGGTGTCCTTTTGATTTAATCGACTCAGTGTTTTACCACTCAACAAGCTTAGTGGAGAATTTGTGACCAAACCCCGCCCATTTTTTGAGCCGTCGTGGCTGTTATGGATATCCATTTTCTTAAACATAGGAGTTAATGCTTGGATTTGGAGGTTGTATAACGTGTGACCGTAGATGCCCGGCACGTGGGTCATTGATTAATGCAAGTATCAAATGTGATCTACGAGCTGGTAGGAAATTCGGCTAGGTCACCGCGAACACGTGACCTCATCTCGAGCGTTTAAACTCCAATTATTGCAGTGAAAATGCCTATTTTTAGCAGCCATGGCACCACCACCAGTCATCCAATTAACCAACCGACGAAACTTTTGGCAGAAAAACAAAGCTTGTGTAGGAAATCCAATGCATTGTCATTTGGGCATTACTCGGCCCTTGTTAATATCCCGTCTGAGTCAGTAAAGCGCTCTGTAGTAACGATGAACACAAATAAAAAGGACGCTTGTACACATTGCTCTCCAGAATCGGTTTCCAAACGTCCTTCTGTGTGTTCGGCAATGCAGTCTTCGGGTCATTTGAGAGAAACCTTGGACAAAAGACTTTTCAAATACAGCAATAATATATCCAGACCTGCAAAGGCTTGTGGCGATGGCGTTTCGGGGAGAGCCCTAGATAGTACAAGCACCTTTACTGACCTAATTTCGAACAATAAAAATTCCAATCTATTCAATAGCTTTTACAGCCCGCAGACAGAATCAGAGGTAGAGAATGAACTCCTCAGTCAAACGGTAGAATTCGATGACACAAATCCTGGCTCCGTGAGCCTGCAAACGCTTCCTGTCAGGCAAAAAGTAATGATTCAGCCGCTTGATTCTAATTCAATCGATGATACTTACCAGCACACGTCACTCGGCTGCCATCTTCCAAGGACACATATGTGTCGGTGTGGAGTGCAGTGTTGCAAATCGAAAAAGGTTGCTAATCTTTCTCCACGCCTCCAATCACTCCAGAGCTTCTTTAACAGAAACCGTCACGCCGCTGACATTTGGAAGACCACTATGTTGCGCAAGGCTAGAGTTGGTTCGGCCACTGACTTTCAATGTGGTGAACAAAACTTATCAACGTTTGCATCTGGCAATGGAGAGCATGCCACAGCAGCCCTACAGGCCCATTTCCTCGGCGTTGAAGCAGATTTTTTGGACAGCAAGCTGGGCGATTCTAGCCGTCAAGGCTATCCCCCCAGTCCATACAAAAAAGTCTCAGCTCGCGATTTGAACACATTTTCTGCTGTGAAACAATATAAAAGTGCCAATCTAGGACACGGCATCCAACTTGAGTCGGTATCCTCGACTGACAACCCAACTCTGGAAGCCCCGGATATACTCCTCGTTATACGAGAAACTGTCACGAAACTTACCAACGATATCATCGATGTGGACGAGGAGCTATCGAAAAAGAATTTCGGTCCGTGTTTCTCAATTGTGGAACACCTACGAGTGCTGCCAAACATGCTGCTTTCACTTATTGACCACCTGCATTACACTCACCAAGAGTTTGAGTTGATTGCTGTGGCCAAGAGTTTGAAGGAATTACGTGAGGTAGTATTGAGAGACCCCACCACAGTAGTATTTCGAATGCTCGAAATTGGCCAAAACCTTTACAGTCTGAATAGGATTTTGGGCGAAAAGATATTACCAAAAGAGTTCCCACGTTTGCTGTATTCAATTCAAGTGAAACTGCAGGTGAGAATCACGACCTTAAATCAAGCAGTTTAATACCTTAATTTCGTAAAAAATAGTTTTTTTCATCCGTGGATAGCCAATTTTGAGCTTGACTGTGATAGAAATTGTAGCATCAGAGAAAATCCGGGTCTGCTATCATGGTTTAGATTCACAAGGTATTATAATTTTGCGGAAGTTGGTACAAGTAATCGCGTCCCTTGAAACAAAGTGCTCGCCTACTGGGTTTGGCCATTTCTACTACGTTTGGTCAACACAACTGTAACTCAAGCCCACATCTAAGTTTCATTTGGAGAGTTGAATAGCATTATGAACAATCACGCGAAAGCAGCTTCTAAGACCTGTCTAATATAGTCACGTGTTTGATCAAGACATCAGTTAGGAATTTAGCGGCAATTCTCATTGAACATTTTTGTTACGTGCCCGTACACACCGGGTAATTAAACTACGTGATTAGTGAACAAGGCATTTTCGCTTTTTGGCGATATTTAGTGCTTAAACACTCGCCAGATATCCATTGACTGTGGTATTTCAGCGTTTGAAAGTTGGACACGTCGTTCGGCAGTACTTTCACATCCCAACACGCGCTGATGTCATCATCACTCCCTACAACAAGGACAGACAACTGGTTCGACTGGAAGAAGAGTGCTGTTGTGTTGTGAATCTGCTTCACCCTAACGATCCGCGGGCCCAGTATTGTCCGCCGAACCACCGAACCATAGAAGTGCTTTACGATGAGGAGCACGGCCGCTTCGAGACATTTTGTCATCGACTCAATCGCATCCTCGCATCCCGACGCTGCACAGCACGACTCGTAACCACCATCCTGCGCCACTTCAACGGGCACGAAGTTGCCATGACAGCAGAACGCGCCGCCGACCTCTTGAACCCCAACCATCGACCACGCTATGAAGACGTTCGTGCCTTTGTCGTGTCAGGAAGTCGGGCCTACTCCAAGAAAGGGCGATCAAAGGCGTGAGGGAAACCGCAAATATTACGTCCCACTGCATTTACTCTCGTTTTGTGATTTCACACAAGGCGTGCATCCCGTTTTAGAACGCATTTTCTGTGCATTACTTTGGGTTCATTTCAGAAAGCATTAATAAGTATGTTAAGTTTTTGTATAAATATCAGTCCTCCCTAAATTTTCAAAATTTGTGAAACCCTGATTTGGATCTTATTTGCGAAACGTAGTAAAATTTGGTTAATAAATTGGCTTTATAGATAAAGATCGACTGTTCTCGCTATAAATTGATTCAAGTTAGATCCATTCACTCGCATTAAGTCGTATAAAACTCAAACCGGCCAATTTTCTTATTTAATAAGCGCTTTTTAACTGTCAAAATGTCTTGTTAACTGCTACTCAGTCCTTCTTCGAATATTTTTCTCGTATATTAGGCACCACTATTTAGGCATGTGACCCACTTTCACAACTAATAAAGTCACGAACAAATAAATCGATTTCCAGAGAATTGTACTTTAAGTAGCTGTACTAGTACACACTATTTTAAATGCCCTTTCCCTCAGTTCAATTCTGCCGTACTATTGAATTATATTCAATCACCATTTTCGTGCCAATTCCGTCATCTATTTGTAAGAACTGTACAATGTGTGCACAACTTTCGACTTGCTGTGTGAACTTCTGGATTAAAGAAAACAAATTTAGTGGTTGGTGCAGGAATCACTGCGTTTACTAAGGTTTATGAAATGCGTGGACCGTTGGTATTACCTGACTTTAAATTTTCAATCATCCCCTCCCTAACATTACAATTGTCACATGCCAACCCGAAGCACTTGAGTATTATTTCAAAAAAAAAATACTAACAACAATAGAAATACAAGGTAGAAATGGCACAAAGTGAAAGCGATACTTCCGCGTAGAAGTAAGAGCTACATCAATGAGACATGTGACGGCGCCAGAGAAAATCGATTTGCGCGTGAAGTTCAAACTGTCCAGTTAGACACATTTATCATCCCCTTATACCTCTAACACTTCCGTGTATTTAGGCCTTCGACTGGCCTCAAATAAAATGTCGGCCATAAGGCATTGTCATCTGCCCTTCACGGTCCCCTGTTCAAATGTCTCTCAAACATTAAAAGCCTCAAAAGATTACAGTTTGAATAATGCGCAGGATAATAGGGCAGTCGGCAGATGCGCAACCTCAAACCCGTCAGCTGTTACGGAGACGACAACAATTGGCAGATCACCGCTCGGTGCCACAATATCAACACGGAACTCCGACCTAAAGAGCACATTTACAGTCAATATCAACGTTCATCGAACCAGAGGCAGCCACAGTGCTGACAAAACTGAAACCGGAGAACCGAGTAAAAACAAAAGCGAAAACAGGGACTTGCCCTTGGAGAAGCAAGCCGTAGCGCATCCCAATGCAAACAAAAACGTCTGCCATCAAAAAGCGCCTCAAAGTGTCAATCAAAATCCGACCAAAAAACCTCGGACACCTGATGCAGCCTTGCAGAAGATTGATACATTTATCGACCAAGACGTTCCGGACGTGTATCACGACAATATGGGAAAACCAAACAATATCAGTTCATTCTGCGACAGTTCTTGTGAATCTGCAGATGAGCGGTCTCAAAAAATAACATCACAGTGCAGAGTACATATAAAAGAAATTCACGAGCTCATGGTTTGTCTTTTTGAACGACTAAGCGACGCAATAGACATGATACCGAACAAGGATTTTAGTGTTTGCACAGAAATCTTGGATGTCATGAAGCTATTTCAGGAGACTTTTGTGAATTTAATAAATTGTTTGCGATACAGTCCATACGAACAGGATTTGATGGCCCTAAATGAAGGCCTGGTTCGGCTGCTAGCGGAATTGGAAGTTCAACCTGCCTTTGTCCTGGTGCGGATGATTGAATTCGGATACTTCCTGCATGAAATCGGACGACACGTTAAGGAAGACTTTCTACCAACGTCTTTTGTTCTAATTATCCACGCGCTTCAAACTAGGTTATTTGTAAGTATATTTTAGGGTATTAAAATGCTTTATGTGACAAACGTTAAATCAGCTGATTACGCTGACTATGCTCCAATTGCATCGAGTTCATAGGCAGGCATGTAGTCGACACTAAACTCATTTAAGTATATTAACAGAACATTAATTACCAGTGACTTGAGAAAAAGAGCATGTAGATAACACGACTGCAATAAAACCCGTCATGGTTACCTAGCAACCATAAGGAATTTCATCAAAATAGATGAAACCACAGGCAAATCAGCGGTTTTAAAGTGCCCGTTTGTTAAAGGACATCATTTGATATTCAGCCATAATTTAACACCATGAAGGTATGTTTTGTTGGGTTCTATCAACAAGGAAAATGTGCCTTTGAAGTTAGGTTTTTGTGAAAGTGGAACACGTGCGTTCATTAAACAAACAATAAGAAAAAACTATAATTTATTTACAATTAACTGGGAGTGAACGCCAGTGGGCACTTTTTAGCGTCTTCATGCCGGTCGTGTGGTTCGTCAAATATTTTTCGTACCGGCTGCCTATGATCCGATTGTGAGCACATATTACAAGAGTCGCCAAATCCTGCGAATTGAGAATTTCTGCCACTGCAAGATCGTCCTTCTTCCGCCGGACGATCCTCGAGCACTCCATTGTCCGCTGAACTGGCGCTGCCTTGAGGTGAACTTTGATGAGCAGAAGGGCCGCTATTTGGCGTTCAAAAAACTGCTCCACGAGACCTGCCCAGTGCCTGCCAAACCAGTTATCTCAATAGCTACAGTCTTTCGACGTGTCAACGGGTCGGAAGCCGACATGTCTCCAGCTGAACTATGCCAATTCGAGGCAACAACTCCACGAATGAGCGTCCAGTCTTTGGTAACTGACATACATACGAAACCGAGTCTCGCATCTGCTCCACAGCTTCGACTGCAGGAAAAGTAGATCACATACGATTTTCAGTTCCACACGCGCAAGCGGATTTTGATTTCACACAAAATTGATTTTTCTCTATTTCATTGTGAAACCTTGACTTTCGTGTATTATTGATTTCATTATTTTATGGTCGACCATAATAATTTCGTCTTTAAAACTGCCGGTGCTCTGCAAGATTATTGTGGATCATTGTTTTGATGAGATTTTTCTGACTAACGTGGGTGACTCTTAGATTGCGGGATCTGAAAATCTAAGTAGACAATTAGTTAGTTTAAATCATGCGCAGTATTTAATAGTTGTAAACAAGAATATTTTGATCATTTAAATTTATCAAGAAAGTTTAGTAGTTACTACATCCTCAAATTTCTCAATTTTAAATCCAAATCCTGCCAACTGTTATTAATAAAATCAACTAGTGTACCTCTCCTACCAAAAACTTGAATTGGCAGCAAAAGAAACTTACACAAATAATTTGCTATAAGTTCATAGCTAAACAGTAACATTCAATGAAATGGTTTCACGAAACTATGTGTAGACCAATCGTTTACAACAAACTGTACCGCTTTAATACCCAGACAGGACAAAATAATCGACCAAAACCACTAGACTTATTTTTAAAACAAAATAATTTTAATGACGCACAACACAGTAAATTCAGACATTTTACCAACAGTAAATAGTCAAATTCAGTTTGACATTTATGGCGACACCCGCATCTTAAGAAATTGAGATCGATTACGTCAAGAACAGCAGAGCTTTTTGCGACTCCTCCACATAACCGCAATTATATAAAAGCAATATTTATTAGTAGTCAATCACTTCCAGGGCTAATTAACATGAAAAGGAGGATCAGGAACAAATGACTAGTAAATTTTGTATACATTTTATCATTTAATTGATTTGTGTAATTTTTGAAATATTTTCGAATTAAAAAGTGGAAATACTTATAAAAAAGCAAAATTTCATTCATATAACAAATATTTGATACAAATATATAGCTTTCTTTAAGACATTAGGTAATCTAATACATTTTGGCATTATGAAATAAATTAAACTGGCCAGAATTATAGAACCAGTGTAAGTAGCTAAGTGGCTTTTTACCATGAATGTTTGCTATTTTTCGATTAATTTTACGAGGACAAATAGATGTCATATTGACAGATATTATCAACCTCGCATTAGGTCCAACAAGAGTACTTCTAATTCATGTTTATGGGTGCATTTCCATCATATTTCGCAGCAATAATTTTTTATTAAATATCATGGACAACGAACGATAATGGACGACAAAAATGGGGCTAATACAAGAAACCAAAAAAGATAGTAACAGCTGCTTGTTACCCAATATAATAAATATGACAATCCATAATAAACTCTGAAAACATGCAACAAATATGTTAACGGCGTGCATTCAGCACCATAAAACACTGACGTCTTTGTCCTATGAGCAATATATGGATGACATGTAGCGAAAGAATTTGCGGATGTCAAATCATAAATAACGTCGCATGTGTCACAGAGAAAATGTGTTTAGATATACACTGTAACACAAAATTACATTTGACTAGTTAATTAAAACGAAATGCAAGCATAGGTTACACTTCTAGGGCATATATTTCCAGGGATTATTTATGTAAGGTAAGAAACTGGAAAGCTGCATAATTCGCTTATAAAGTTGCTATATTTATAACTCAAGAATGATAATTCTTGCAGTTTTCTTCGAACCTCAGATTTTTATAAGTTCCCCATGTGCCTAGAGTGAAGCACACACACATGGCACACTAAAATATTGATCAAATTAAATAATTAGATCACTGAACATATGTCTAGTGCTACATAACACAAGTACATATAAATAATTAATACAAAAACAGTTCTTTTTAGCTAAATGTTCATAGCATTGTTTTTTCTACCTATCATTACAAAAATTGGTTGAATTTTTAAGAAAAATCGTCAAGGTCATGCTTTGTTTTGTTTTCACTTTTATTGGTTCTCTTGTCGGTGCGCGCTATCCGCGCCTTTCAAGAGTGTGGAATTTCAAAGGTAGGTCGTGTTGTTTATTTTGCCCTAAAATCGGTCTTTATGGTTGAATTATACTAATTCAGATCCATTCATTTCGCCTATACTTTCGCAAGCTGGGTTGTTGTGCATATTATCTGCTTAAGTTGTCCCGGTTCATTTCTTTGTATGAGTTATTGGCGACATTTACAGTAAAATCAAACATTAAATACTTCCAAAAACGCACCCATATCTAATTATTTTTATACAAGGTGATGTGATTTCTTTGAAATTCCGGGGTGTTCGCTCCCTTCTTTTTTTACTTTGGAACTTCATAGTGTAACCACATTGTAAAATCCGGACATTCGTTGTAGATTAGTAATTAACATTTTTGAATTGTTTTTGTCAAATTACTTACGTTTGGCTTAAAGTACTACAGCCGTTATTGTGTTGCCACAAAGCCGTGGTACAATAGATATATTTTCACTCAGTGTACATGGGAAGTAGCTATGGTTTGTGTACTTCGACTAATTGTCTTCAAATTGTGTGGCATTTTGTCTCACACCAACTCAGCATAAATTTGCCTCAGATATTTAGTGCTCATAGCGAATCACTAATTGCTGGTTACCTATTTTTTTGGAGGCGTGGGTATGCTCTCGCAGCCCCATTCATCGTTGCTAACTCCAAATCACCAGTCAGGAACTCTTGAACACCGCGGTAGCAGCGACAGAAACAGGCTCCACAGAACGTCCTCTTTTTCAAGCCTTCTTTTTACACGCCGACCCTCTACATCCAGTTCGGTGGCATCTTCGTCTTCCATTTATTCACCATTGCATCAAAACATCTGGTCTAGGCAAACTCCGATTTCAACCGAACTGGATCACTGTTGGGGAGGTGGTGGTAGGCGTTCGCGGGAAGTACAGAGGGAATCTTATCAGGATTTTTACGATTTCCTGAAGGCAGCTGACCTTGACGAGTACTATTCTGTGTTCAGCAAGCATTTGAAGGTAATTTGTAACGAAGAAATATTTGACCGATACGCTACAAATGCTAAAACGACGATAACAGATATTTCGGGACATTTTAATATCTACATATGTGAGACCCACTAAAAGCAATTGCCTTCGGTTGTGACTTTATTAACCTATAAAAGCTAGTGTCTTCGGACCTGAAGCCCATTCGTCTGTCGAACTTGTTCTAGTGCCGCTATTCTTTTAATCCTTTTTAACAGAAACAATGGCAATTTTCTCAGATGTCCCCTTTTTGTGACATATGCGTGTGCAAGTCTACTTTTGTCAGAAAGTCCATGTTAACTATCTATTTTTAGAGCTAGTACATTCTACTCGAATGCGACAACATTTCTCAATGGTGTATAGCCAGAATTCATATTTAATGAATCGGCGACATTAAGCGAACCCGTAGTTCATCAGCCCTTATGAACTGATGTTTGTGTTCCCATTCCAGTTAACTGTCATGACTTCAACCTTACTTTTACCCGTTGAATCGTCATAAATTTGTTGATTCCACTTTGACCGCCACAAGCCTTACGCCCATGTACAAATTTTTCCTATTCAGTAATGAGTCCATTTTGCACCTTTTATAAAGTTCCTTGGACTTTAATTTTAAGGCCACACGCATTTCACCAGTGCACTGCCTTGTGTATTGAAATCATGAGCCCTTTTTATGAACCATAATTTTACAGTCATTTTCAACATTTTGTAGTATCCCCACCCGCAGTGAGACCCTCTGAATGTTAATGGGTTTATTATGGATATTAGAATCCCACACACAGAATAACCCATTTCATAGCCGTGCCATTTAAATGCAAACTTTTAAATCAAAAGTTATTACTTTTAGATTGGCCCCTTGTGCACTTTGCTTGGTGATCGTGCAGGTCACATTGGGGGCTATCCTATGCCTACTTTTAAACCTAATCTCCTCCTATCCTAGTCAGTTTTTTGTTGCACTTCATAGCCAAGGCAATGCGTACATCAGGACACTTTAGTTGTTTGAGCGCTAAAGTTTTCTCGGTTTACTACTTGAATGGAAATTTGACGACAACAAAATGACGGTATGCAGTAAAATCCACCAATCGTGTTAGACTAAGGAAAGTGGTATTTAAGTCTTGTCATCTTCACAGAACCGATATCCACCAAAAGCTTGCTCTTTTGGTTCTTTTCATCTGTGCTTCTGCATCCTTACGTGTTTCAGCACTTTCGAAATGCCACCATTTGAATGCAGCTGGTAGGCCAATGTGTAAATTTTCGTTTTTAATCAGGATTGGTAAGCCAGACCAACCCTGTGGTAGCTTTAAGTGTTGAAAACATCACATTTCATTAGCTTCGGCTAAAAACGCTACCCCACTTAAAAGCGCTTACCGTCCAAATCAAAGGAGCTTTCTGCATGTTATTTAAGTCCGGCTTACGCAAGGATTGATCCAACTTGGGAATCTCCTTTGCTGTCTTTCTAAAGTGACAGTTGGTGTGTCAATCTTCTAGCATTGGCGAAACTCAGCATCATTGGAACAATCGCACGAGGTTTGGGCCAGTTCTGAGGATGTCAGCTGCTACTTTTATTCCATGCATTAAGCAACGATTAAGAACGATTACAGTGGTCACAACCTAAAATTAAGTTACACTGATTTGGTGTAAAGTGAAGTTGTTCTCGGGGCGAGCAGTCCCACCTGTTTGAGGATCAAGTAACCCCAATAACTACCTGTAAATAATTGAATTTGTGTTTAAGCAGCAATTTATGAAAGAAGGAAATGTGCCCGTCACGGAGGTTTTGTTTATTTTCTGTGGGCTAAAATAGAGGGATGGGCGTTGGCGCACACACACCTCAGGAACTTGGGCAATGACTAATCGGTATGCGGCTGTAGTTGATGTTCAACTCAAGTCAATTCCACGACGCGCATGCTGCAGATGCGGGGCTGTGGCGCTAGGCTCTTTTTCATACATTTTAAAATGGAACTGTTCAACGGACTGACGTGTGTGTATGGCCAGGGAAGCTGA